AGATGTATGGAGTCATTCGGGAACATGCAGAACAGGACAAATTGTTAGTGGTCCAATTACAGCAGGAAAATCATTTGATTTTAAGCTTCGTTTAAGAATTCCTGTTAGAAGATTCCTTCCATTAGAAGCTATTCGATTTATTCCAGCTTTTGCAGGAAACATTCAGCTTAAAGTAAAGTTCAGTAGCGACGCCTTACAATGCACATCTATATCTGTAAATGATATCATTGCTTTCAATCCAACTCTTAAAGTTGCATTTGCTTCAGATTCAAATCCACCGACAAATAAATTTGTTCCATGGAATGAACCATTCACTATGATAACGAAGGCAGTAGAAGCTAGTGGAACAGTTACTATTACAACTGTAAACCAGCAACTATTTCGAACAAAGATGGATTTTAATGAATGTTTCATTCATCCAAAATCATTCTCTTTAGACCCTAACATTTATACAGAACTTGTAGAACATTATACAAACGAGGCTTTATGTTTTCCTGTTAAAGTTATGGATTGGATTCCTATGGACGGTTCATTCTCAAAGAATACAGATAGTTCAAGTGCAACATTTACAGCAGCTTATACGCCTATTAATGTTAAAAGTATTTGGGCACTATTTAGAAAGAAAGACAACTATTATGTTAATTTTGAGAACCCTAAGTTTAAATATCTTCAGCTTTCCATGGGAGCTTATGGAAATATGCCTGCAGAACCTGAAAAATCATATGGACCTGTATTTTATGAAATGGTTGCGAACGCCTGCAATACAAACAATGATATGATAGGATTTAATGAAGATGTTATGAGTCATTGGTGGATGATGGTAGTGTGGAACATAAATGGGATAGCTATGACAACACACATTTCTTATGTGGTTTTCCAACAGAAGTGGACTTTTGCTTCCAGCAAGGTCAAACATCTACTGCTCCAATAACATACAAATTGTCTGTTAAAGGACCTATTGAACTAGCAACAGAAAAATGTACCAAGCCACTTATTGGATTTATGAGGGATTGTTGCTTTGCAATACAAGTAAGACAGTCAGGCATCCCCATAATAAGATTAGATGACTATAACTTAGCAACTGACGACAGTGAGGAATAAAGGATGAACGTTTATTTTTAAAGCTTATAAATGAGTTCTTCATCAAGCTCTCGTGAACCTTCACCATCTGTGAAACAACTTTACCAAACGATTATGGAGCACCTATTGAATATTTCTTACGAGCTGCACAATGGCAAAGAGCAGTTTCACCAAGGTTAGGTGTTCCACCAGCTCCTGTCAAAAATAGCATTTGGTCAAGTCCTTATATAAAATATGGTCTCCCACTAGGTTTGCTAGCTACAGCAGGAGCAGTTATGATGTTGAAAAGAAATAAAGCAAATGTTATAAATAATACTGAAGTAGCTGAATTTGAACAAACTCCGACACCATCGCCAAAACCAACGCCTTCACAAACAACACCTTCAATGACTCCTGAACCTATGGAAGTACAAACTCCTGTTCAAAAGTCAACTCCAACATTTAAACCAGAACCTACTCCTCAAATAAATCGTAAAACTCCTGCGTTTCCTTACTGAAAAAATAACGTTATTTTTATTTTATTTGAACATTTTTATTTGATTGAAATGACGACTAAAGTCACTGAAGCAATGAAACAAAAGTTTTTGGTAGAATACATTAAATCAGGAGCGGTTCCAGAAGGTTTTTACGTTCATACTATGAAGGATGGTAGAGTTCAGTTTAGAAAGATAAAGCAACCATTAGATAGAGAAGGTATATTAAGGAAGATTAAACTTCATGAGGACAACATTGCTGAACTTAAGAAGAAGTTAGAAGAGTTGGAGAAAGGAAGAGAGTTATAAAGCAATGAATTCATGAGGTGAAAAAAGAGGTGAAAAAAGAGGTGAGATTTCACCACTTCACCTAAATTTATTTTTGTGCTATGTTTTCATACGTGTGATGGTGGTGATATCATTAATTTTAAGTTTATTTTATTATTTTACTGAAAATTTTTATTTGGATGTAAATGACGAAAACTATTGAGATAACAAACTACAACGGTCATGAGTTCAAGAATTTGTTCTTCGTTCCTCGTGAAAATACATTCTATCAGATACGAGGGAGAAAGGGTAAAGTTAGTTTGAGCGTTTATGAAGGAATGAAGAATGGAAAGTTTATACAAGCATACGATACAAACGGTAAACGTGTTTCATTAGCTTTGTCAAAACTTACTAACATTCATTTTGACAGTGATTTTGACCTATATGAAGAAGAAAGTGAGTCAGAAGATTATGAGCTGTTATGTGAAGCACAGCAATGGGAGGAGTTGCAATACTTTTGTAAGTGAGAACGTTTATTTTTTACATTAGTGAAGTCGTTTGTGAAAACGTTTATTTTTTCATTAGTGAGGTGAAGTGGTTGGCGGCTTTATAAATATTTAAGGTTAAGTTGGTGTTTGTGTTTGTGTTGTAAAATATACATTAACGGTTTCGTAAAGTGTCAAAACCGCTAAGTTGTGTACGGAGGCGCGCAGTGCCACAGTACACGACTTAGGTATACTAACTCAGAAAGGTTAACATAAACTCCTGGAACGTTAGGGTCAAGTCTTCTTATTTTCTCAATAGTTGCATACTGGTCTGTTTGTTCTCTAGCTTGTGGTTGTACTGAGTTTCTCAAAGCGAACCATTCATAGTTTGCCCATGTTACTGTTTGAACTAAGTCAGAGTTAGAATATATCTTATATCCCATGAAAACTTCTGGAGCATATTGGTATCCGACATAGAAAATTCCATTGCAACCTTTCTTGTCAGACAACTTGGCAGAAGGTTTTATTTCAATGTCTTGTTCCACGTATAAGAAATGAGTTGTCAATAGAAATAATATGAAACCTGTCGCAAGCAATATCTACTGTTGTTGAAGAACCTTCTCCAAACTCACTACGTTTCCATAAGAAACAGCAGTTGTATATTCGTAAGTTCCAGGAACTATTTCTGACCTTCTAATGGCATTGTCGCATTCGTTATACCATTCGGAAACATTTCCATTCATGGCATCCAAAATTGTTGGCGTTATATTCTGAGCGGCGTACATTTCATATGGGTAAAAATATAGAATAGTTGGATTTATGTGTCATAATAGAACCCACGTGGACCAAGCTTTACTTTCTTCCTGACTGAGTTTTTAACTCTTCTTTTTCCTTCATTGCCACTACTTTCACTAGATGAAGTTACTTCTTCACTACTTTCACTTTGTTCTACTCTTCTCTTCTTCTTTGGTGTCGCTTTTGGTAACTTGCCCTCTGCTTCAAGTTGTTGCATCTTTGCCTCATGTTCACCTAGTATGTTGTAAATTTCCCATGTCCTTTTTGCCTTTGGGCTCGGGTCGCCCATCTCAGGTAACCTATATCCTAGAAAGAGTTTGTCATAGTTTGTATTTGAGTCTTCGCGTATTGTTTGCATGACTCTTTCCTGAGTTTCCGGTTCAAGCTCTTCAAACAGAGCTTGTCCATATGGAATAAGCTCGTTTCCAAATATATGTTTTTGTAGCCATTCTGGTTTTCTTTCCATGTAACCAATAATATCTTTTGTGAATGGGAAAGCTTTTACCCAACGTTTCAGGCTTGCGTCATTTATTTCTGTAGTTGGTTTTATTTTGTCAAGGAACATGTTTTTCAATACTAACATTTCATTTGGTACTGTCCATTTGAGTTTTCTTAAATATTCATCCCTTCTCAGTTCATTGTCTGCAAAGTAAGTTTTTATGACATTTTGCAAACTTTCGTTTGCAAGGTCATGTACAATAGGTTCTCTTCCTTCTCCCTCCCTAACTTTCTTTCTAAACTCTTCACCAAATATACCATCTCTATGGTTCTGTGTAGTTCTTTGAGATAAATGTTTTAGAACGTCAGGTGTTATATTTCCATCAGCCATGTCCATTTCATACTGGTTCAAAATATCTGCATGTTTCATATCTTTCAATGGCATTAAAGCCGCGCTGAAAATACCAGCTATATCTGGTTCACCATTGACTTCCATTGCGTCTACAACTTCTTGGAATTGTGGTTGTAAGTTTATGAACCACCTATCCGGGTTAGCTTTATGACCCCATCTCATTGTAGTTCCATAGTCTGCAGAAACAAAAGTAGGTTTGTTTCCATCTTGGTTAGGTTCTGAATGAACTTTAAACAATGTTTCATTTCTATATGTTTTGGTGAAATTTAACCTTTTATTTTCACCGAGTTCAGCCAAAGATTGAACGTTGTATGCTCGTAAGTAAAAAGGATTGTTGTATTTGTGTACATTTTCTTTCAGTACTTCCATTCTATGCTGAATATTTTCATCTGGTGTTGGAGTCTTTTGTATGTCGGCAAACATTTTTCGATATTCTTCTACTCTGTCAGCCGAATTTTTCTTAAACTCTTGGAAAGATTCCATATTCACCTCATACTCTTGTTGAGGGTCAAGATTTTTCGGCTGTTCCAAATCTTCATCTAGTTCTGTGAAGTTAGTTTCCAAAGGAGGGACTTGTTCGTTTCCTTCAGGCTCTTCTAGCTGTTGTTGCTGAACTATTTCTTCCATGTCTGGTTGTATCTGAACTTCTTCCTGTGGAGTTTCTTGTACCTCATCTGCTGGCATTTCATATATTCCGAGACCGTTTTTAACAAATTCCCTATTTAAGTCATTCGCATTCATAACCCTTTCTTCTTTCGTTCCGTCTCTATTTTTTACGCGTTTCATGAAGATAGTTGAATTGTCATTTATCTCTGACACCAAATATCTCGGAGTAAATTCATTCATGTCATTTGGATGATATGCTATTAAATCATATCCCTTAGCGAGCTTGTATTTTCCAGGTTTGAAATTATATCCGATTTGGTGCTGAACCATAAAGCTAAATAGGTTCGGGTCAGTATTTCCTTCCTTGAACTTTCTAATAGCTTCTTTATATCTGTCACTAAAGTCAATAGTATCTGAGTAACCATAGTCTTCTTTAAGCATTTTTAAGAATTCTTGGTTTCCTTGTTCTCTACTTCTTTTATGTCCTTGCTCTGTTTGTGGTTGTTGCTGTGCAGGGTTTTGAACTGTTGGTTGCTGTGCTGGTTGTGGTTGTTGTTGTGCAGGTTGTGGTTGTTGCTGTGCAGGGTTTTGAACTGTTGGTTGTTGTGCAGGATTTTGAACTGTTGGTTTTGGTTGTTGTTGTGGAGGTGGTTGTTGTGCAGGGTTTTGAACTGTTGGTTGTTGTGTTGGTTGTGGAGGTGGTTGTTGTGTTGGTTTTGGTGCATGCCTGTGTCTGTGTCCATGTGACGATGTAAATGTTTTAGGTAGTCCTGGTGCAGGTGCTTCTCTTGGAGGGTTTGGTGGTATATAAGTTCCACCAGCTGGCACATATGTTCCATCTGCAGCATAATGTCCTACCTGACTTTTCGTTCTTAAGAAAGCATTTACTAGGTCTTTTTTGGTCTGTTGTAACTCTTTTTCTTGACTTTCCACAACAGTTGCTCTAACGGCGTCATAGGCACTTTGAACTGCCTGTCTCGTTGCTGCATCTGTTATTTTCGTCATATTTTGTGCTACTTCTCTTAACTCTTTGTCGAAACCTTCAGACTTCAGTTTCTTTCCAGATGAGAAGTCGTTCACTAGTTTCACCTTACTATGAAGAGCTTCGAAGGCGTTCTTAAAGTCAGCATTCGTTAAAGCTTCATTTGAACTGTCTTCATCCGCTTGTATTTTTGTCCTTATTGACCCTATAAGCTGGGCTGCTTTAGCGTTGGCTTGGGCATCTAACCAGTCATTGTTAGCTTTTATATATTCTGAGCTTTTCATTGCCTTTTGCATGGCTGCGTCGTTATTTTACTTTCTTGTGCTAAGTTTTCATACTGTACGGTTTGGTTTTGCAACTGTAAAAGTTTTTCTGCCTTTACATTTGCTTCAACTTCTTTTTATACTCATCGCTATCCATATATGTCTTCAGGGCTTTTTGTTTTATCTCTTCATCTTTCAGTACTTTATATTGAGTAGTATGGTTTTCAAATTTATGACATCTTGTTCCATTTTTGCTACTTCTGCTGCTTTTTCTGACACTTTTTTCGCATATTCCTCTGTACTTAGTTCTTTCAGTTGTTCTTCTTTCTTCTTTTTCTCTACGTTTAACTCATTGAGTTTCTTTGTGTGTCTGTCATATTCTAGTTTCTTTTCGTTTTCACTTATTTGCTTCTGTATGTCTATGTTTGACTTTTTGACATCTGCTATTTGATTTTTGAGTGAACTCAAATTCATTTGACTTTGAGGGTTATAGGCTGTTCCGTCTGCAGCTCCACCATAGCCTGCCATTTTCGCTAAAAGTGCCGCTCTTAAACCTCCACTCTGTGCACCAAAAACTCGGTTTAAAGCATAGGGTTGCTTGACATTTGTTGCAACATAGTGGGGTCATTCAGCATTTGTTGTTGCAACTGTTGTTGTGGTGTCAGTCTTACTATTGGATGTTTCAATGCTCCCTTCCTCTTACGTATATTCTTACGTAGCTTACGTGGCATTTTAAGTGAAGTTAAAAAGCGTCATTTGACAGATGTTTATATGACACTTTCTCCGGTTTATAGGACCTCTCTCATATTCTATCTTGTCATATCTAAACTCATAGTCATGTATGTCCTCTAACCATCTCATAACGGTTTCCAAACCACTTTTATCGGATGTAAAGTAAAAGCATGGATGGTTATGTAAAACGTCTAAAGTTTCTAAAGAGTCTCTCAAAGTATACTTCCTTGGAACGCCCGTAACTTTTCCTGTAGCGACGATAGACCCTTACTTGTCCGGACAAAGTTGTACTATTTTGAGTGCTCTACCAAAAAGTCAACGACGACGACTCTCAAAAATTTTTATGGGCTAGAAGGGGCGCAGCCCCTGGGAAGCCCCCTATACCCAAAAAAACTTCATTTTATACTTCATTTATACTAAACATCTTCGGGGCTAGAGGGCACGAAGTGCCTGGAGGCCCCACTACCTTTTTTTTTTTTTTTTTTTTTTTATTCATAAAGATTTTCCAAAAATATGATACCGCAAAATTAAAAAAGTGACGTCTTGAGTGGAGTCAAAGGTCGAAATTGCTAGCTAAATGTTTTTTTAGCGAAATTGCGTATTGTACGTTTTTTTCGCAAAACGAAACCCTTAATTATAATTATTTTGGTCTGATAGTTTTTCATCTCAAAATATTTTATGTATGCTATTTCACTTTCCATAATTCTTTTTGATTTCAGCGCTTTTTTCTCCGAGCTTTAATGGGAATCGAATATTTGGAATGTAGTGTAGTTTCATTTGATCAGCTACTCTGTTATTTCAGCAGGAAAAAAAATCTGATATCAAAATTAGTAGAAGTTTTGTAATAAAATCATCAGATTTATTTTCAACAGATAGTTTAAAATACGTATTTATTAAAAACAACGTGGCTTGACCAATGTTATTTTTTTCCATTCTTATCTCTTTCAATTGTCCTACAATACATTCCTCAAACTGTTGCATGCTAAGATCAGTCATAATGTAAACCTCTCAATTTTATTGTCGTGGGAAGTATCTCAATTCCTTCAAAAAAATTGAAAAACTATTTAATTTTAAAAATATAATACTTTTAATTAGTTAATTAATTGGAGATATTTTAAAAAAATCACTTTTGATAATACTTTTGAGAACTTTAATTAAAAAAATATATTCAAAAATATCCAGGATATCAAGAGGGAATTGTTCCTTATGAGGTATATAGTTATGATGTATACCTCATAAGGAACAATTCCCTCCTTAAAACGAGAAAACTTGTTCGAAATTGTTTATCATTTCGAACAAGTTTTCTCGTTTTTAATAAGAAACTAAAGGCTATGAGGCACTGATTATATATTAGTGCCTCACAGCCTTTAGTTTCTAATAGATAGCTGGGAAACTTTCTCCAAATGATAAGTTATTCAGAGAAAGTTTCCCAGCTATCAAGAGGGAATTGTTCCTTATGAGGTATATAGTTATGATGTATACCTCATAAGGAACAATTCCCTCCTTAAAATCGTAGACATTTTTATACTTATTAATCAACCATTCAAAATCATATTCCTCTGAAAAGTTATTTTATTAAAAATTTAGAATTTTAATAAATATAGAGTTTGAATTTCATACAATACCTATATATTTTCAATAATGGAATTTGAAAACCATTCTCAAAAGTTCTCAGAAAACCTTTTTTTCATTAATTTTAAGAAATCTGAGTATTAAATTAAGTGATAAATTCGTTTGACACTACTTTAATTTTTAAATTCAAAAAATTATATGTGCTTCTTAAAATGACTCAAAAAAATTTTATTATAAAATAATATATAATATTAAAAATCCCACAACATTTTTTACTTTACATAATCGTACTTCCTCGACGATTAATTTCCACTCAATTTCTATCGTTGACCGAACTTAGCATGCAACAAAACTAGTTAATATTGTTTTGGATGTTAATAATTTTTAATGTATTCTGACCAAAAGTCCAGATATTTTATGGATGGAAGAAAAGTTTGAAATATTTAACAATATAGTTTAATTATGATTTGCTACTTAATATTTCTTACTCTCACTCACTGTTATTGTTAATTTTGTAAGACAATTTTACATTTTGTCGAAAAAATCGTATTTAAGTTTGTCATATTACGGCTCGTAATATGATATTGAGTTATTCATCGTTTAAAGGTGAAAGTAAGTCTGTTAGCCAAATGACCTCTCTTTTTTTGAATTTATTCTCCCTAAATATTTCGCATCAGAGATGAAATGACGGTTATGTCATTTCACATGCAACCAGCAATTGTTTGGGCACAGCGTAAAGATGGCAATGTTCTTGTAACAATCCGTGTTCATGATTGCATCGATCCATACATTAAACTTAACCCAACAACATTGACATTCAGAGGAGAATCTGATAACAAAGAAAATAAGTTCGATTTAACACTTGAACTTTATAAAGAGACTATTGTTGATGAATCTAAGTACAACGTTAAGCCACGTGGTATCGAAATTATCCTTAAGAAGAAGGATACATCAATTTGGTGGCCACGTCTTGCAAAGACAACAAAGAAACTCCATTATATTACAGTCGACTGGGATAGATGGATTGATGAGGATGATGAAGAAGAAAAGAATGGCTACGATTGGCAAAATCAAGGAATGAACTTCGGTGATATGGGAGAAGACGATGATGATGCTGATGATGGAATGGAGGAAGCTGCACCTTCTGCCCCACCAGCTGAAGATATTAAGCCTGAAATTGACTAAATTAAATAATATGTCAAAATACTTATTTATTGCCGATATTTCGCTACATAAAATCTTACGTACTATTAAGGATTAGTGTTTCATTAAAAATTAATTTTGATACAAATATATTTTCAAATTGAATATAAATATGTTGAAACTCATTATCTACTGTCTGAATATGATTATAATTTTCTTTCGTGAAGCTCACATAGTTAATTAATAAAATTGACTAAATGTTTTTCATGTTTTTGCTTTTAAATATCGACTCGTTTGGTTATGTTACGTTTAACAGTTATATATTGACAATTTAAGCTCTCATGCTATAACCTAAGAAATGTATCGGGAAATGTAAAGAATTTTATATCGGGATTTTATGCATCAGGTTGGTATTGTGAAAGAACTACTGCCTGAGAGAGGTGATATAAAGGCTAAAACAAATGATACTGCTGATGTTATTCATAATCTAAACCTAATTTTTTCATTTGGGCAATTGGAAGACAAAAATGCAACTCAGTTGGATGTAAGTAACACAAAGATTTCTTCATTTATTGGAATATCTGAATTTACTAAGATTAGAGAATTAAATATTAATAATCTTCCAATAAGAAATTTTTATGGTTCATGTTTGATCAATTCACTTGAAATCATTAGTATGTGGAATACAACACTAATGATGAGTAAATATTGTTGCATGCTAAGTAGTGTCAACGATAGAAATTGAGAGCCTTTTAATCGTCGAGGAAGTACGATTATTTTTTAGGCGAAAATGTATCTTAAAATATGATTATTAATATGTTTTTAAAATAAAAAATTTGAAAGTTAATTTGAGATTCTCATATAATTTTTTGAATGAAAAAAATAAATATAGTCTATATGAGTTTTTGAATAATCACACTTGAGATATATCTAAAAAATAATTAAAAATAGAGTTTGAGAAGACTTTTCAAGGTGTAATGAAAAGTGTGATATAGAAAATAATTATAGATATTTTAATTTTATATATTGTGCTAAGCATTATATTAAATTTTTAGGAAAAACACTTTTCATAAGTATTCAATATTTGAAAATACGCTCCAAAAAAGAATAGATTCTTTTATATTCGCTTATATAAAAGGAAACTCTCTATCAGATGCGAATGCCTGAATTCAGCACCTCTGATAGAGAGTTTCCTCTTATATAAGCAAATCTTTTTCATTCGTTTTTGTTAATATAAAAACATCAAAATCTACCAATATGAGAAATTAAACCCTGCGAGGCACCAGTCTAGAACTGGCACTTCGCAGGGTTGAATTTCTCTTGACAAAATACAATAATCAAATGCTCCAAAGTTTTCAAATTTTTATTAGGAATAGGAGCCTACAAAGCACTGATTATATATCAGTGCCTGGTAGGCTCCTATTCCTTCTCTAAATGGGAGAAACTTTGTTTGAATAAGATAACATGCGAACAAAGTTTCTCCCATTTAGAGTGGGATTTGGAGGGTGGGAGGTACATAGATAGACTATGTATCTCTCACCCTCCAATTCCCTCGGGAAAGTTCGAAAACTCGGTCGCAATCAGATGCAATTGCGACCGAGTTTTCGAACTTTCTATTAGGAATAGGAGCCTACAAAGCACTGATTATATATCAGTGCCTGGTAGGCTCCTATTCCTTCTCTGAAGCTGGGAAATTTTGTCTGAATAGTTTAACATTTGGACAAAATTTCCCAGCTTCAGAGAAGGAATTGGAGGGTGAGAGGCATATAGGCATACTATATACCTCTCACCCTTCAATTCCCTCGGGAAAGTTCGAAAACTCGGTCGCAATCAGATGCAATTGCGACCGAGTTTTCGAACTTTCTATTAGGAATAGGAGCCTACAAAGCACTGATTATATATCAGTGCCTGGTAGGCTCCTATTCCTTCTCTAAATGGGAGAAACTTTGTTTGAATAAGATAACATGCGAACAAAGTTTCTCCCATTTAGAGTGGGATTTGGAGGGTGGGAGGTACATAGATAGACTATGTATCTCTCACCCTCCAATTCCCTCGGGAAAGTTCGAAAACTTGGGTGCAATCAGCAACGATTGCACCAAAGTTTTTGCGTTTAATTGAAGGAATTGCTCTTTATGATATATACAGTTACAATGCATATATCATAAGGAGCAATTCCTTCCAGATATCTGGCAAACTTGCTCCCAATGGTTCACAATTGCGAACAAGTTTTGTCATTTGTCAAGAGAAATTAAACCCTGCGAAGTGCCAGTTCTAGACTGGTGCCTCGCAGGGTTTAATTTCTCATATTGGTAGATTTTGATGTTTTTATATTAACAAAAACGAATGAAAAAGATTTGCTTATATAAGAGGAAACTCTCTATCAGAGGTGCTGAATTCATGCATTCGCATCTGATAGAGAGTTTCCTTTTATATAAGCAAATATAAGAGAATCTATTTTTTTTTGGACCGTATTCTCAAATATTGAATACTTATGAAAAGTGTTTTTTTCTAAAAATCTCAGAATATATTTACAATAGTAAAATAAATAAGATATTTAAATTTATTTTTAAATGCTTTTTTTTATATGAGATTCTCAAAAGTTATATCAAAAGTCTGTTTTTTCTAAAATCTAATATCATAATCTATTTCTCATTTTAAGTACATCTTAATTCATTTTATTTTCTATATTTTTTCAATATTTTTGAGGGAATTGTGTTGCTTCCCCGACGATAAAATTGAGAGGTTTACACATTGACACTACTTAGCATGCAACAAATATTACGAAATTAATACTATTCTTGCTTTTGGTTTTCAAATTATGAAAATAAATGCCAAAAAGATTGACAAGAAGCTAATTGATTACATTAAAGAACATCCTTATTTAGATGATCTTATAAAGAATGTCCAAAGTGGACATATTCTCATGAAATTTCCAATATATGACATATCCAATATAGATGAACTCTTTTACAGCCCATCCATGTTCATTTCTTCCCATTATAATATATTGTTCACTAATTGCATACAAAATAAACACATGACCTTAATTAATCCCAAATTTGATCCAAAAAAATCAAAAACGGTCTTATCAAAGCTAAAAGAATCATCAAAAATGTGTAATTTGAGTGAATCTAAGGCTTGTCATTACCTCACAATACTTGATTCTCTTAGAATGTTCAATAATAGCAAACATGAAATGATTGATAAAGAAACTACTACAACATTTAAAGAATATGTTTATGAATCCAACAATTCACAAAATAGCAAAGACTATATAGCAGTTGAAACCCAAAAATCTGAAAAACATGTGCAACAAGAAAATCGTGAGACTCAGACAGATATAAATGAAAGAGTTGATCAACTCACTGATCCTCTTGAGATGCAAGACTCTAAATCTAGTGAAGAGATTGAAAAATATAAAAATGCCTATTTAGAATGTCAAAATCAACTCAAAAATTTGCAAACTAATAGCGATAAGCTTCAGTATAATTATGAGCTATTATTAAAGGTTCTTGACACCATAAAAATTGAAGAAATATCAGGAGAAGATATTTCCTTAGACTCTCTGTTGGAAATGCCAAATGTATCATAGGTAACAAGTATATCATTATTGTCCATTCCAATCTAACCGAAATTCTTCTTTTGAAGATATTGTTTTGATGGCAATCCGAAATACTGCAACAGCCACAATTAATCATTTCTATTTGAAATATATTGTTTGTAACAAAAACATCAATAGTGTTAATCATGATTTTCCTCATTCAATGCCAATACATGGCATTCAAATAAACCAAATTAATAACTCTGCCATCATAATTTGAATATGATGCATGGTATTCAGGTAGAATTGCAAACAATAAATACATATTTTGTTGAATTTAAATTATTTCAAAAATATATTTTAAAAAAATGAAATAAATTTCTTTGTCCATTGAAACAGTAGATTAAGCATATTCAATTTTAATAAAATACAAACAATTTTTAGAAGTTGGAAAAGAATTTGTTTTGAAGCAGTTTGGCTGCTTTCTGGACATTTCCGTTTGTCTCTCCTAAGGCTTTAATGATCCAATGTTCATCTTTGAACCCCATTGTCTTCAAAATTTCAACTTGTGGAGCGAATTTCAGGCTTAAATTTTGATCATAGTCATCTTGGGGCGAGAATTCGTACATTTCATCGTTATCCGAGTTATCAGTAAACTGAAAGAATGATGTTCCAACATCTTTTGTAGCTAAAGGCGAATCCTTTCGAGTTTGTAAGGTTCTGTAGCCAGAGGATTGGAGTACGTTCTTATATCCCTTCAATGGCGGTAGAGGCTTTGTCATGAGCTTTGGTTTATAGTCGATATTTGTTGGGGTATTACAATAAGGTTCTTCTTCACTCGAAGAGTCTTCGATAAATGACTGAAGCATTCGCAAACCATCCGGTGCGGCTTCGACAAGGCTTAATGCATAATCCGTTGTTTTAGCAACGTAATTTTCAATCTGACGGGAAGGCGGACGCTCTGTGGTCTCTAACGCTTCTTGTGCCAGTACCATGGATTGTAGGGCAAGGTCGTTTATCCTTGAATATGCGATCAAGATTGAATCTTCTAATAAATCTTTGATTTCATTTACAACTTCATTATACTTTTCAGATGTTATGTTTTCTAATTGGTTGGTGAGTGTGATTAGTCGATCTAATTTTTCTTCGGGCTTTTTCTGAATCGTCCAATTTTCTTTCACCGGAGCTAAATACATTGTTGGGCAATTTAATGACGTATAAAATCCCACTGAGAGTTCGTCAACAAGGACTTTTCCTTGAAAAACAAGCCTCTGCTGGCGGGGAAATAATCCTGTTTTTGTAGTGATTCTTTCTTTAATTGATAAGATCGTATCACTGCGTGAAGCAGACACAATGAAGGATCTTCCGGTGGTTCTTTTGATTCTTATCATGACCGTGCTTCCCCGAGCGGTAAGCATCGATATTTTTACTTTTACTTGAAAAAAAAAATTTACAAAAAAGTGGCTCTCTCAAAAATTTGAACCAACGAGTTTTTTATTCAAAAATTGAATGCACGTAAATTTTCAAAATCTAATTATTCATTTAATATCAGTTTCAGTCCTTATTAGCACGATTTTCAAAGCGATCGATTCAATAACCTTTACAAATGTAAATTAGGAAATGTTGTCAAAAATTTTATTGTTTTTAAGCATGACTTTTGAATAGTGACAATGGATAACGATTAATTGGTCTTTTGATATTAAATCTACTTGCTTAAAATTAATAAAAGAAAAAGAGGTTCTCGAAATTCGGGATTTACATCCTTTACGGTATGAGCGGATGGAAATATATACCTAACAATTCGACAGTAAATCAGAGGGTGATTGAGGAAACTGTTATGAAATGGCAAAATCTTTAAATGGATATGTTGAAATTAATTTGGTAAGCTTATTGATAATTAGTAATGTAATCAAGCAGTTATTCGAATAAAATAGTGATGCCATTCTTTGGCATGAGCCATCTTATAGTTAATAAGTTTCGGAATATGAAACTATACGATTTTAAAATTGATGGTATAAAATCGTTATGAATTTACTATACGAATAGGCTCATGAGAGTAAGATTATGATTGTGATCACACGTACTTAATAAGAAGTGATACGAAAAGTTAATAAATTTTGAAAGATTTCTAATGGTAGTTCTATGAAAATGTTTATTTGCTCCAATGTTATTCATTTTAGCATGTAAAGATTCTTTTCTTAGGTTGGTCGAATTAAATTTGAATAAATGTTGTTAACTTAAGCTAGTCTTTACTTGAATAGTGGTAGCAATAAGCATTAACTAGTGTTTAATTATGTTTGTCTACTGACGTGTTGGTCAGTAATGAAGTATATTGATGATCCTAAGTAAAAAATAAACTGAAAAATAAAATTTATCAATGAAAATGCTATAAAAACTTATAAAAGCAGTTGATTCCAATTATGTATCAAATATAGAACCTTTTTGCTTCTTTAAAATATCGATTATAATTCCAAATTTTTTTCAAAATCGAAAAAATGTATAAAATAATAAAATTTTTTCAATTTGTTTTTATCATTTTTGTCACATAATTAAACGGCTCCCGATGGATTTTCAAGGACAGGGAGCTGATATCGGAGATATAACAGAAGTTATCAAACGAGCATATAAAATTCGCGAGAAAATGTTTGTTTCAGCTCTTGAAAGAGTTGTTATGAGTTTATCAAATGATAGAATTGCTCATCAAATGCTGAAAAGCCCAACATCACAGAATTTCATTGGAAATAGAGTTCAAGAAGTCTTCGAACAAATCATTTGCGATGATAGAGAAGCTTATATTGCAAAAATTATTTCTAAACTAGAAGCTTATGATGCAATGTATAAAGATGAACAGCAAGAAATCGTTAAAGCTTTAGGAACGAAGTATCTCAAGCAGTTTGATCAACCAAAACGTGGTACAATTCAACGTATAAGTCATATTCATGCTTTAGTTGATATGATTCTCAAATTACGAGCTGATATGGAAAGAATTCAATCAGACAACATCGAAAATGCAAAACTTCTACAAAATTCTAAGAGAAAAACAAGAATCGATTATACTCCAAGTTCTCCTACATTTATGCATGTTTTTGGCGAAGTAGATCTTACCGAAATGTCAAAAACAATGCACGCAATGGATTCAGAGAACAATTCATTAAGAGATTCGTTTGAAATTCTTCGAAAGAATACATCAAAGATAATCAGGCTTATGAGATCAAAAACAACAGCAGCAGTTTCCCTCCACAACGCAAAGATCGAAAAAATGAGTAAATTGCTCAAAAAAGAAAAAAGTTCGTTAACTCAAATGCAAACAGAATTCACCGGACAAATGGAGCAGCTTAAGACAGAAACACAAGCAAAGACAATAGAAATCGAAAATCTTCGAAAAATACTGAACTCAAAGCAAAATGTCGAAATTCAACTCAACAATCAGAAAACGAGGTTTGAACAAGACATGATTGCTATCAAACAAGAAAATGAAGACCTCAAATCCCAAAATTCTGACTATGAAGCCCAAATTAATGCTCTTAGGCAACAATACGACAAACTTTCAAAGAATGCTGAAAAATTCAAGCTCCAGAATGAAGAATATACAAATGAGATCAAACAGCAAACCGATGCCGCTGCTGAATTTGAAAATCGTCTGAAAAATATCACTGTAAGCCAAGAACAGCTTAAAAAGAACCTTGCTAAGGAACAACAAATTTCTTTAGACTTGAAGATCAAATTGGAAGAGAAGACATCAGAATCTGTTGAACTTGGAAAGAAATTAGAACTTGTTAATCAAGATTTACAGGACGCACAAACAAAATATGCTGCTTCTCGAGAAGAGAATCAAGCTCTTCAGCATAAAATCCAAGAATTACAAGATCATATCTCAAGTATTACAAATCATCTTGAAAAAGCAAAACTTCAAGTAGATGATGCCAAATTATCAGCTGAAGAACAATCAGCACAACGCCAAACAGAGCTCAGAAACATCAAAAAGCTTTATTCTGCAATGCAATCAGAAAATGCTCAACAAACTGAGTTAATTAATCAACAGAAGAAGCAGATTGATGATTTAACGGGCGAATCAACTACATTAAGGAAGAAATTGAACGACGCAAACATGGAAATAAAGAGCAAATGGGAATTTGTTGAACAACGCCTCACATCTGAGAATCAGAACCTCAAAGAGCGCTTGCAACAAACATCAGACCAAGTGAATAACCTTAATAAGTTACTTACAGAGCTCAGACAGAAGAGCGGCGAAATGCAACATCAAATTGAAAATTATGAAGACCAAATGAACGAAAAGAACGCAAAATTGGCAGAAAACAAAGATGTTATTGAGAAATTACGTCAAAGCAGACTCCAAAGCAAGGATATTAATACAAAATTGGAAGATGAAAATTCAAAATTAACCAGAGAAAAATCAGATTTAATGAATCAAATGGCAATTATGAAGGCACAAATACAGCGCATTACTATCAAGCAAAATGAACTTCAAGGCTTCAGTAATGAAAAAGATGCTCAAAATGCAGATCTTAAGATCCAAAACCAGCAATTGCAGAGTGATATTTCGGATATCTTAAGCCACCTTGGCGTTAAAACAGTTAAAGGAGCTCTCCAGGAGATCGAAAATGGAAAAAGAGCTTTGGCATCTGAACAAAACTTACGAGAATCTCTTGGAATTTCCATCAGAGATGATGTGAATAAGAAAGTTAATGATCTTAACAAGATATTACAACGAATTTACGGCTTGTTAGGAACAAATGATATATCTTCTATAGAAAATCTTAAGCAAGAATACGATCTGGTAGGATCGATGGTAAAGAATACACGTAAACCATCAGATGGTGTTGCTCAATTGATTTCTATTCAAGGAGAAGCATCAGATTTCGTTTCTCAAGTCATTTCCTCGTTAACAGGAAACCCTATGTCACCAAAAGGCCCACTATTCCCAATGAATCCAGCAAGAAACGCACAGATTATTGGCATTCTTAAGAAGACAGCCGAACAAGCCAAGAACGACCATAATACTGTAGACACAATTGTTGAAAGGGCAATTGGAATGGGATATACAGGCGATGATGGCATCGAAGCTGTTGATTTCATTATGTCGAAAGTTGCTATAGAAGGCAGACAAGCTGTTCTTGAGCAAATGAGTGCACAGCTTTCAGATGTTCGCGCTCAACTTGCCAAAGAAAACCAGTCACATAAAGAAGAAATGGACCAAAAAATTAAAGAACTCGCAGAGAGCCGAAAAGCAGCATTGCAACTCAGCCAAAAGAACAAAGTTGAGAGAGAAGAACTTCTCGCAAACAATGTTCAATTGGAGCAGAGAATTGCAAAGCTAAATGAAGAACTCAACTTGGAAAAGAGCTTGAGAAAAGAACTCTCAAGAGTTGGCGCAGGAATGAGTGCTGATAAAAAATTGTTGAAATCCAAACTTTCTTCACAAGAATACAGACTGATTGAGCTTGTTGAGAAACTCGTGAAGAGTGAAAGAGAATCTAGAGCTATTCATGACAACATGAAGAAGATTAGAGAAGAAAATCTTGGAGCATTTGTATGATAATCTTTTTTATTAGTTTTATTGTTTATTTTGTTGTTATATTTATTAAATATTCTGTTGTTAATTCATGAAATTATTATCAGTTGGTTTCCTAAAGTTTTATATGAATTTTTGACTTGACAAAAATTTTATTGAATAAAAATAAGAATAAAAATTAATTTCATTATGAAATTATGATGAATTAATATCATTTATTGAGATTTTATTCGAAGGCATATTTTTTTTTGAACAGACTATTCAAGTGTTAGGGTTTCTTTTCTATTGCATATTCAGAACAAAATTCTATCAGTAACTTTTATGATGACATGGAGGCCGTTCTTAACATGCCTGCTGGCCAATCTATTACAACTGGAGAACAACGCTTAGTGCTAACAAATGATCATCCAAGGAAAATTGATCTCATCCTCGATTGGGGTAATGAGATACATATTGAAGGAAGAAATTTAGATAATTTCGTTTTAATAAATTTAACACAATCTTATATATCAGAAGTCCATGTATATGGAAAGTTATTTATAATAACTAGCCTAGGGGTTACATTTTATTATCATGTTGACCAAAGCCAACCAAATAATTTCCCGTTAATTTACTATAGCCATCCAATAGTAGGCGGTAAATATACAAAATATGTATTTGATAACAATGGCACTGAATACGTCGAAGTTTTGACCGAAATTAGAAGGAAAACAAAACCAATGGAGCTTTTACAGTTAGCACAGCAAGATGACAAATTATCAATACTTGATTACAAAGATATTACATTCAGACCTTTTATTTCTGAAGCATTTTATTATTATAAATTACCTCCATTGATAGATCCACCTCCAGAGCCTGAACCATCATCTCCATCCTCATCAGAATCTTCATCTTCTACTGAATCTTCATCATCAACTACTTCATCAGAAGAAACATCATCAACTACTACATCAGAAGAAACATCATCTTCATCAACTACTACATCATCAGAAGAAACATCATCATCAACAACTTCAACAGAAGAAACATCATCATCAACTACTACTTCATCATCAGAAGAAGTCCAACCAGCCACACCAGTTGTGACTCCAGAGCAATCAAATGAAGGAGGACTGATAGACATAGAAGACATAAACATTACAACAAACAATACTAATGCTTATGATGAGTTTTTCTCACTCACATCAAGAAACGTTGCAGTTGATAAATACTTCAAGAACAAAACAGTATCAATTACATGTGATAATGACAGAAAGAACTATAATATTATTGCTATCGATTCCACAATCAAAATTAAATCAGATGTACTCTGTTCCGTCACTGTTTTCGGTCGCCGCAATTTCATCAATGCAAGTGGACCAATTATTTTCCTAATTAATGCTGACACAAATATTCTTTCAGAAGAATTCGATCTTTCAGATCCATTACATCATCCAATATGGCGTGTTACAGGTAACAACAACGTCATGAAGACAACATTCATTGGCAAATCTAAATCAGATTATTCGACTGCTGTTTATGGTTTTGATGGAAACGGAACTGTTTTTCCAAAACTTGGTTCAAAAATGACTTTAGGACCTATTTCTAAAGGAGATAAAATTAACTTTGCTTTATTTGGAGACATAATTGCAACTAGAGAACTTGAACAGAAGAATTTCAAGAAACTAACTGTGAAAAGTGGTGCAAAACCACCACGAGATTCTCATTCTATTCTTGTAATTGTTAATGTTGTTGGAGTTATTTTTGTTATTTTAACTATTGCTGTTATTTATCTTGTGTATAAATTTGGAATCAAATCACACATGAAAGAGGAATAACATATTATTGATATGAATAAATTATATAAGCGTATGTATTAGATTTGTTTTTTTTTATTCATTTTTTAAATAATTCAAGATAATTACTTCATTTGAGATAAATTAGAAAGCGAACTGAAATAAATTTAAAATGTATTTGGTAATTATAGTATTATGAAACAGTCAAACCATTGTAATTCATTAAAATGCAAAATACAATAGATGAAGCTATAACCATCAACATAGTTTCGCGAAGAGATATTAATAATGTTGATGAAAGAGTTCTTCATATGATCTTAGTATAGCATTCGGGAGGGAATATTTTTTATTAAAGTTGAACTTCTATATTTTCAGAAGAAACGCAGAGAATATTTGATGACAACACATTTGCAGTGTAGGAACATTAAAAAAATTCGATCATTATAGTATGTAATTTTGTTTTTCTCTTTATCTTCTTTACAAATTGAAAAAATTGAAAAAACATTCAAATGAAAATTTCGATAATTAACTGTTGAATATTTGAACAAATGATCCGAAGACTTAATATTGAATGGATGCAAAATCAGTTTTCTGAAGACTCATTCAATCATGATTTAAGATGAAATTATGAATTCGAAACTTATTCATATAAATAAAGTAAAAACGATGAAAAAGAACGATTATTGATTTTGATTTTACTCCATTCAATTTAGGCTACGCTAATAAAAAGATGTATTACATGTCAACCTTAATATTATCTTTAAAAATAATTTTTTTACAAATAAAAAATCGACTAAATACTTGATGAGTGAGGGTGGCCTCAAACTCATTGAGCCTTTCCAGTCGATTTGGATTCAGTACTTTACGATGGATAGCCAACATAAGGTAGGTCGGCCCTCTTCCAAAACAGAACTCGATTTTTGCATTGAAAGAATAAATTATCAACCGGGAAATCCATCTACAATTCGAAAGGAAGTTTCTTTATGCGACACAAGTGAAGAAATTTCTCACAAATTGGCTGCAATTTTTCGATTTACTGAATTCCCAATTTTAAATTCGTGTCTGCTTGCACAGATGTGCATCTCAGTATCAAATATCAAACTATCAGGAAAGGCAATTGTTCCACCCTACATTGTTCGTAGTTTAATTGCATTTTCATATATTTTACCAGATGCATTAGATTGCGAAGTTCATGGAGCAAAATATCCGATTTTCCAAGATCAGTGCTGGGAGACAGTTCCATATCTGTTCGAATATATATTTTATACTTCAAAAGAAATTCAAAATGATATCATAACTGTCTTAAATCCTATACAAACAGCGTTCAGCAAATTCAAACAGATATACACTTTACCGAAAGACCACAAAATATACACCTTTCTACTCAAAATTCTCGAGGCTTTCGTTCCAAATTTGTTCGCCGCGGCGTATGAAGACAATTGGTTCTATTTTGAGTTTGTTGTCGAAATATTCAACCAATGGGCAAACTGTAACAACGAAATTTTGCACTCAGATCCTTTTGTCGACATAATTCGAATGTTTTTACAAACATCTGCATCGTATATTCAAAAATTATCAAAGAATAACGCGTTTAAGATGTTGATCTTCATCTCTTGCTTTATTGGAAGGTTCTGTACCGTTTACGAAACGCCAATTCCGATTGATATTAAATTATGTCTAAATTGTATCGAAATTACAGGCATATTAATACCAATGAGTGGAATGACTGACTGCGCCTTTATTGTTAGGCACGTATTTTGCTTCCTTCGATGGGCAATGAGATCAATTTCTTTGGAAAACGAATTGACAGAGATATTTCCAATTTATACGATCGAAGAACCATTAATCTCACAATTACCAGACGTCTACTTCTCTTCTCATTTACTTTTTACGTCATTTATCGTGAAAAAATTCAAAGATGAGTCAGCGACATTAATTCTACAAAGTTTAACATCGATATTATCTTTTCTTACAGATAGAGACCCTGAATGTCTCGACGGATTCGAAAATTTACCTGAATACGAAGATTCAACTTATATGTCATCGATGATCTTAGTTATTTCAGCTCTAATCAACAATACTCACCTACCTATGTCGAATTCTCTCGAAAATCTTACGAATATGATGCTACAAAGCCCTCATAACCCTCATAAATTCGAAAAAGTTGAAGGATTGCAGCTAAAATACCAAATTTGTGTCTTCAACTTTTGTTTACATATGGCAACTCTCAGTTTAAACCACAGAAAAATGATTTTGAGGCAATTAGCGAAAGTTTTAGTTCCTCCCTTTGATTTTTCATGTTTAACCTACATAATGCCTGTTCTCAGGTCATTATCTGTCATTGACAAAGAGATTCAGTTCATAAATCCCTTCTTAACTTCAGGAGTTATCGAAAATATCTGTCCATACATCAAATTAACGGAATACTCGCACCAGATTGATGAATTTGTGGCCTTTGTACAACTGATAGCCATGATGAATCCAGAAAATGTCCTTTCTTCCATTGTTATGTTGCCAATTCTCACTGATTTGATAACTGTTCCTAAGTACGAGGCTTCATTAGTACCAGTCTTCAGATGCGGATTCGAACTATCAAGGACAATCCAGTATTCCAAGGCTGTTCCAATTATTATCTCATTATTAATTCAGACTTCAGCGATTTTCATAGGCGCTGTTAAGAATGAGAGCTTAAAACATACAGCTACAGCCATTATGGACCAGTTTTGTCGTTCAATTGAATCACATCCTTTGTCATTTCTAAGAAACTTCGAAGATAACTCATTTTTCGAACTTTCTTCCAAATATATTAAGAAGGCCAAGGACACAACCGCAATTTTGACTTATTTGAAGACATTATCTACTTTTTGTATCAAATATCCTCAATATATCGAGACATTGAATGCACGGATGACATCTATATACCTAAATATCACAAAAGCATGCAAAAGAGTTCAGTTAACAAAAGAAATTTTAAATTCAATTTTAACATTAGCGCTAAACTCAGTTTGTTCGCTAGAAAACTGCACAGATCTCACAATACAAAACAGAGAAGCGATCAAATGTTTGCTAAATGTAGTCAAAGATACAGATTTCGAAATGGATATCATAATTACAGTGACAGAACTATGTAAAAGCTCATCATCGAACAGCTTCGAGTGTTTCCACGCAGATGTAGTGAAGTATGCGCTAGAGAAATGCAACAACGAACGAGTTTTACCGTTGGCAATTAACTTATATACGGCAATCTCATCAGTTTTCTATTCACAAGTGATCCTGAACGAAACATTCAGATCTCTGTATATAGGAAATGACACAAGAACGTGTAAACAAACGATGATATTAAATTCATTGATAAATATGATAGTAGAAGGCGCAAATTCACCTGTTTCGTCATTCTTCCATCTCAACGGTGTCACAGATTGTATTATTGGCCCAACATTACCTTGTAATTTCTTTAATTCTCCATGGAGTTTCGCAACAACGATTCGCATGGATAAATCTACGACGAGTAATGCTCCTTTATTGACATTGATTGATAATTCGTGGATATTTTCCTTATCTTTCTCTGAAAAATCCGAAATGAAACTTTCATTTGTCAAAAACGGAGTTGTTAAAGCGAGCAAATGCTTCAAATACAACTTCAGGAAGCAGCAGTGGTATTACATCATCATTACTTACAATGAAGGTAATTTTACCCTTTATATCAACAAAACTCGGCTTCAAACCATCCAAACAATGAAGCTAAACTTCGATAGTTCCGTTCTCCTCCAGATCGGCTGCAACAAAAAGTTCCATTTGGCCATAGATATCGGTCCAACATATTTCTTCTCATTGGACGATGTAAACTTAGTTTACAAAGAGTTTACAAAATCTCACAATTCCTATGGTCAGCTCCGAAACTGTTTTGTTTCATTACATCCATGTTTAGCTCAACAAGGGAAAATTTCCAACGCTTCTCCATATTTCGATTCGAATCCTTTGATTTTCGGAACTGTTGTTCCATATGTAACAACAATTCTCGATGTCATCGAAATGGACGGGATTTTCCTTGGTTTCATGCCATTGTTCGAAGTCGTCAACAGGCATTTCATCCAACAAAACGATGAAGAAGACAATCTTTTGGCCACTTTACTCATTTTACTTCGTGTTTTGTTGGTCGTTTCTCCTGAAATTCAAAATAATTTTGAATCAATTGGCGGTTTTCGGTTATTGAGCGGTTTTTTGAGTAAGATTGAACCAGAATATTTTACAACACAAGTTGCAAGTCAACTAGTTGAATTATTCCAGAATTTACCTGATGATTCGACCAGAAGACAAATGGTTGAATTTATTTGGCTGAATTTCAATTTGTGGAGTGAGAAATCATATGAATTCCAAGATTTCTTTTTCAACAACTGTTTGAGTGTTGTTTATAAATCAGACATGATGGGATCCTTTGATTTTGATTCATATGATTTTCTTCTGTTTCAATGCCAAACTCCACTTTTGATTTCAGATACAAATAATACAACGAATATAAAGAAACAGAGTAGTTTCAACAATTTCACGGATTCTTTCATTGACAACTATTTCAATTCATTTCCAAGTAATCCAAACTTGATTTCAGAACAAAGAAACAAAATCAAACAGTTCCAATGGAATTTTTACTTGGAAATGTTCAAAAAGAATCCTGTTCAATCATCTTTCTTGATTATCTACATGATCATCGCGTTCCACAAAGTGAATTTCATACAAATGCAAGCTTTCTATTTACTTGAGAAATTCATTGGAGAAAGAAACAAAGAAGCTTTGGATTCTTTGAGTATTTTGAATTATTACGATGCTTTTATTCCTTTGTTCGCTTCAGAGAATTATGAAATACAACTACATTCATTGTTAGTTATTTATATGATTGCTAATTACCAAAGAAACAATTTGATAAAGACAGAAATGACATTGGAATACGCAATTCACAAAGCAATCGGTGTTTGGAATCACGAAAAAAGTTCTATAAAAGAATTTTGCGAAATGTTGATCTTTTACGCAAATGACGCAAGAGATATCCAAAATCAACTTAAAATTGTCTTCCCTGAATTCATTACTTTTCTATTGTATGTGGTTAATTTACAAAAACCGTCGACGATACCGGAAATTATGAATAACACTGAAAAAATTTTGTTGAGCGGTTTTGACATCAACGATACATTATTTTTCTATGAATTATTTTTTTATTTGAATCATTGCTATGAAATGACAGAAGAAAACAATTCATTGTTCTCTAAATTAATTGCTAATTCATGTAATAATATATTCAAACTGAGAAAGATGTCAACAATGATTGTTTCTACTGTCATTGCAACGAAAATCAATTTTATCAAGTTGTTTGTCAAAGCTGTTGAATGTTTCGCAAAAGAAATTTTGTATTTTAAACCTGATGATGAAAACTTGTCTTTAATAACAAGACAACTTTGTTCTGCGTATTTCTTTATGCCTCATTTCATTTCGGATCTAACAAAACAAAGAAATTTAACAGAAGATGAAGTGACCAAATTAAAAGCGGTTTTTACAAATAAAAACGATGATATTTTCATCAACCAGGATTTCTTCTTCGATTACCAGCCAGAAATTGAAGCTCCCTTCAAAAGTGAACTCGGAAAACACGTTACAAATATTGCTTTCTCAATTATATCGTCAAAAACGTTAAGTGAAGTGAATATGACTTCACTTTTCACTTTACCAAGTTTAGAGTTCTTGGCATTAGTTCTTGCACAATATATAGTTATGACTGATGATAATTTGGATGTTAAAGAAAAATTGACAGCTTTTTGTCAAATTTTTGAGTCGAAAAAATCTGAAACAAAAAGTGACATTTTAGACATGTCGATTTCCTTGTTGTATAATGCATTGAAAATGAAAGGAAACAAAGAAATGATGGACAAATTATCAGGATTTTACAAAATCCCAGAAAATTACGAGAAAAATTTCAATGACATGAAAGAAACAATAAGTGAACAAGCCACACAATTAATGATTGATTACAAACCAACGTTTGTTGTTACGAGAAAGAATATTTCTTCTGTTTTGGATGATATCGGATTTACTCCTGAGAAAATGACGAAACTAATGAATCACGATGGATTTAATTCATATATAAACGCACATCAAAAGAAGAGATTATTAGTTGAACATCATTCCCTCAAATTAGTTTCGAGTTTCGTCAATGAATCGACATCAAATGGAGGTCCTCTTTCCAGCGGATTCAAGGAAGTCCATTGGAGATTCCTGCCAATGCTAGATCAGAAAGGAAGAATACTTTTCTTGGCTCCAAACAGAAATTTCGATAATCATATCTCTGCTTCTCAATTGAGAGATTTACAAATAATTGAAACAAAAAGTGACACTTCTGAAGAAATTCCATTGAAACGAATTTTATCGGAGAATTTCTCATTTACGGAAGTTACAAGGATAGAGATGAACATGCAGAAAGCTAAGTATTCTTACATTGCAACACTTCTTAAAACAGTGAATAGATTTGAAGGAAAAGTTTTCTTGAATAATTCGAATTTAGTTTACGACGGAATTATTAAAATGGATATTTTCGGAGAGCAGAATTTGAGTGGGAGACACAAGTACATTGAGATACAGTACACTGACATAGAATTCGTGTTTTTGAGGAAACACATGCATGTTAACAATGCTTGCGAAATTTACACGAGTAAGAATCGTTCTTATTTCCTTATTTTCGCAAGTGAAAACAGAAGAAACTCATTCATGAATTCCCTGCAAAAATGCTATGATAAATATCTCAAGAAACAGTCTAAAAAGATTCCAATTCACAAAGTCAAATCTTCTACATTTTCTTTCAATTTCTTCCAAACTTTGAGAAATATTTCAAACGGAATTTGTCAAAATTTGACACCTCCTGAGATGATCATTCGTTCCAGGCTTGTAGAAGAATGGCAGGAAAGACGTATAAGCAATTACACATACCTCGCAAGACTCAACATTTTGAGCGGACGTTCTTTGAATGATATTTCTCAATACCCTGTTTTTCCATGGGTTTTGAATTGTTATAACAAAAAAGTGACACAAATTGACCTCACCGACCAATCAATTTACAGAGACTTTTCTGTACCAATTGGTGCAATGAATGATGAACGTCTTGACAAGTTGTTAGATTTGTACAAAGATTTAGACGATAAATATCAAAAATGTTTATTTAGAAGTCACTTTTCAAATCCAGCGAGTGTCATTGGATACTTGATAAGAGAAGAACCATTTAGTAGTTTGCATATTAAACTACAAGGTGGAAAGTACGACCACCCTGACAGATTGTTCCATTCGATTGGATCTGCGTGGAGTTCTGTCACCGGACAATTAAATGATTTCAGAGAATTAACTCCTGAATTCTTTTGTTCACATCATTTTCTTTTGAACGAAAACCAGTTCGATCTCGGAAAATTAATGGATGGAAAGATCGTGAGCGATGTAACTCTTCCTGACTGGTCTAAAACAGCTTGGGAATTCATAGAATTGCATGCAAAAGCTTTGGAATCTGAATATGTTTCAAATCACTTAAATGAATGGATTGATTTGAGTTTTGGTGTTTATAGGAATTCCTTGGAACACAAGAATGTTTTCCATCCATTCAGTTATCCTGAAATTGTTCAGACAATTACTGATGAAATGACCTTGAATTTGGCAAGAAATCATTGCGCGAATTTCGGAGTTTGTCCTGATATTTTATTCAGCCAGCCACATCCAAGAAGAAACCACGAAATTATTCCTCCGCCTGTTCATCTTTCAGATTTGAGTGTAGAGAAGATTGAGTGTATTTCGCATGGCCACATAATGACGAACAACCAAATAATTCATGTTGCTTCAGGAACATTTTGTAACTTCACAAATCAAAGCAACAAAATTATTTTTGCTGACATTTTGCCGAAGAACAATTTCCTCATTTTAATTGCACAAGGAACTTCTTATGTCACTTGTTTGTTTTATGGCAATGAACAGCAGAAATCAGTGACATTGGCACATAGAGGAAGTGTCATAAATTGTGCAACAAACATTGATGATGAGTTTTTAGTTACAGGAGGAGCTGATTGTACTTTAAGTGTTTTCTCATTGGATAGATTGACAATGCTAGGTTCGATTCCTGCTCATGAATTCCCTGTTGTTTCTGTGTCTGGTTCTGTTCCGATTGGATTAATTATAAGTGTTGATTCAGGACACAATTTATTTGTTTCTCATTTAATTACACTTAAATTTATCCACGCGTTTAAGATTGATTGCAACCAGAATTCAGAACACAAAGTCTGTTTGTTGGAGCCAGGTTTGATCGCTGTTTCTTGCTCTGATTCGAATTTGTCGACAAAGATTTTGTTCTACGATTTGACAGGAAGGAAATTGGGTCAAGTTCAAGAGGCAGCAAGAGTTGTAAAAATCTTTGAGATTTTAACAAACGAAGGATGCTATCTTGGAGTGACGACAACAACGAAACACCTATCTATAATTGACTGCTGCTCTTTGGAGACAGTCAAAACATTTGACGACATAATTATACCTGATCTAGTTCAGTCAGTTGGAAAAGGAAGAAAAGCTGTCGTTTGCGTGAGAAACAACAACAAACTCGCAGTTTTAACTTTTTAATTTTTATTATTTTTATTTTTATCTTGTTTTATTTTATATATTAGAATAAAATTCATCTAATAAGTTTATTATTTTAATTAACTGAATGACTCAAACATTTCATTATGAAAATATCATAGAAAAATAACATATTCAAATAAGAATATCAAATTACCATTAAGCAATCCAAAATATTAATATAAACTAAGGTATGTATTCAATATAATGAATTAAAAACATTTTTTTTCGTAAATAAAGAAAGGATACAAACATTTTATTCAAAATATAGTTCAATACTTTGATGGGAAGTTAACCTCTATGATGAAAATACAATTTTTTAATTATGGTGCGCTATTCAGCACTTAAAGAAACAGAATTTATCTTATCTAGAAAAATGAATAAGAGATTGACTAAGTTTTCTAAGATTAAGTGGTTCTAATTCTTCAAATACACTAGTCATTGAAGTTTGTTGTCAAAAAATTTATGATATACGAGTTTTGATTTTTTTTTGAAAATTTGTTGTAAGAACAAGTTTGAAAACGTCAAAACAAGCTACAGATAAGCTATGTCTAGAAAAACTCTTTGAATTTTTATGAATCTCTTTGTTCTTCGTTATTTTCGTTGTCTAATTCGACGTAATGAAAATTTTGTAGGTCAAAGTATTGTTTAATATACATGAAAATGAATGCAATACCGGAAAAGACTGTAAATCCAACGATTAAGATTAATCCCATCGTTTTTTCTGAAATATTTTTGGATTTATCGTTATTATTCATTGAGGTGTTCGTAGAATTACTAATAGTAGTCATATTCTTTGTAGAATTCAATGATTTATAAGTCAATTTGTATTCGATTTTTTTAATTGGAATTATTTCTGATTTTGATATGAAGAATGTTTCATTTGTACTTGTATAGTTGATTTCTATTCCGTTCATATCACTACTGTTAGTTTGGTAAAGAATTGTTTTATTTGCAAGAATATAGTAAGGAGAATGATAAGAATTGCCGTAACAGTTGATATAAGTTCTGTTTTTGGGCAAATGAAAGAATGATTCTCCTGAGTTTATTGTTCTATTTTGATAAGGAACAGTAGAAACTATTACTTTGGACAAATTGAAATCATCTATCATGTGTCCAGTTAAATTTTGATCGATTTTTGATTCAACAATGAGAAAAAATGTCTGTATGCCAAAATGAAAGCCATAGGTTTGATTTTTTTGATCAAATTCACCGGCAAAGTATGTTTTATTATTAGAATTATAGAATACTCTTGCAGAAATTGATGCTAGATTTGCAAAAATTAATGTGATGAAATTTTGATTGAAATAGAACTCGTATTTTTGATTTGCGGTAAGTTTTTCATTAATTTCATATATATTTAATGGATAAGTTTCATTGTTTAGAGTACTATTTGTTATATTCATCGCTTCCAATACTTTCAATAAAAATCACCAAAATTAATGAAGAATTTATTACAGGCATTCATACTACACATCCAATAATAAAACATATTTTTGATGAATTACATGATATTGAGTGGTTGGAGTTGAATCTACAATTAGATTTAACAAACTCATAGTTTTCATGCTTTTGTCACTTTATTAACGCTATACCAATGGAGAGGTTCCATTTACATTAAAATAACTCATAAATCAAATTTATATAATCTAATTGGAATCGTTTTGATATGACTTTTACCCAGTGAGTCGCTGTGTATCAGAGTTGTATAGATGAATGAGTGTTCAAGATCAAATTATACAAATTTTGAGTTCTCCAACATAAAACTTTTACATTTCGTTTAGAGTTCGGAAATTTCTGGAAAATATACTAGTTAGCTATTTATATATAGAACTCTCAAACATCGTCATTCTCAGAATTGCAGATCAGAATTGTAATTTCAATTCAAATTGAATTCCAATATGAATACAATTCATCCTTGTGGATCATATTCATGAATTTGTCAAAAATGACAATAGACTTCAGAAATTTCAGGGTTTGTGACAAAAGAAATTTTTTTATGGATGATAAATTACTCGATTTCTATAGCGATCACATGCCTTCAAACGTGATTCAAAAGCTCAATCAATGCCTAGAAAATGCAGATACCATGCGGCAAGACATTTTTTATCGAGAAAGAACGATTAATTTGTTACCTTTGCTTGCGATGACGACTTATCCATCCGGAGTCATCCCAGACAAATCACAAATTTTAAAATATATTATGTGTCCCGAAATTCTATCAACAAGAGACGTAACACCGCAATTCATTCAACATTCTTCGCTTTTTGTCAATTTTATTTACACGAAACCTGAATTATTCGCAAAAGTAGTCGTTGATAGGTACGGGCAGCAAGACTTTCATTTCGTAATTTACTCAGTTGTACCTGCATTTTTCGGATTTTTCGTAACTCTTGAACACGTTGAAGCATCTCTCGTTTTTTATCAAGAAGTAATAAATATAGCACCAGCCAATATCGCTTCTGTCATCGTACAGCCATTATTTTGCTCAATGAGCACTTTCGTTTATATTGAAGCTGTTATGACGGATTTTGGTGCTAAATTCGGCGTAGATCCCAAAATAGATGATACTCGTCGCAGAAAAGATTTGATAAAACAATTTTCTATCGAATTATTACAATTAATTCGCCAAAAAATTCATTTAATTCCACGACAGATCCTTGCTATCTTCCAATTTACAGTCCAGTCGAAATGGACATTACGAGAACTGATCAGCCTGTTCTTCAATCACTTCTTTTCCCACTTATCTTTGGCTTGGGTTGCTTCATCTCCTTATTCCCATCGAGTACCTGTTTTTCAGCAGGTACTAACCGAAGCAACTCAAAATGTCAAACTTGTTCGTGACATATTTAAAAGTTTTCTCGAAGTTGAGTCGAAATACGAAATTCCACAAGGATATAAGTCATTTAACCTCGAATATACTCAATTATTCATATCCATTGCAGACATCATAGTCGCAGCCATCTGTTTCGCGGCTTCAAACAAGTTGCCGAGCTCATTAACAGATGTCAATTACGAAATCTTTCCTTTGGAGAAAAGATTCTGTCCGTACACCATAAAAATATACAGGAAAAATTTACGACAGCCTGCCAAGCCAAACTTCATCGATCGCCCGCTCATTTTTACGAATTTTACAAAAATCGACGTCGAAAGTAACATTATCTACGACAGAATATACAGAAAATTATCTTCCGAGAAACTACTTAGCGATAGAACCACATACGAGTTCCTTCTCCACGAATACGAAAATCCATACTCCCAAATGCTTACTGACGTCACGAAGAGCGACCAATTCAAGCATTATACGTTTGCTCTGTCGATGAACGAGATGATTGAGCAATCCAGGAACTTCGAAGCCCTTTTAACTTTTTCTGTTGCATTTCACGACTTTGAGCAGTGGAACAATGCCGATTTGAAGCGCCAAGTATCACTAATGACTCCAATGGCCCTCAACGCTGCTAAAGCCGCAATGCAATACGACCAATCCAACCTCAGTTTGGCATTTAAGAGAGCATCTAAAAATTTTGTCACCGTAGAGCTGAAAAGACAGCAGTTCTACACCATAATAAGCGGAGAAATACAGACAGCAATAGAAGCAAGGGCTTCAAAATTCAAAGATTTGGAAAAAAAGTGGACCGACCACTTACAGAACTGTTTGAAGAATATTGAGACCGGGGATATCGATAGGATGCCTAATACGCGCAAATACAACTTCTGGGTTTGCGTGGAAGAGCTCAGATCTTTGCCTTGCATTATTCCACCGAGACAGTTCGGATTATTGGTCTCAACAATTAAGAAACTCAAAATGGTCGCAGGGAATGATCCGAGAATCCCTCAAAAAGTTCTGATTCTCTCGAATTGTGTCAAATTACCTGCAATTTTCCTTGTTTCGGACAAATTTATAATGAAGAACCCAATATACGAGACTCTCAAGGACGATTCGATCATTTCCGCGTGGCAACAACTCGGAAAATATCTTATTGATTTCTTATCTGGGACAGAAGCGTTCGAAGTCATGACCAGCCTTGAATCGGACATGAACCAGATACCAGAGTTCACTCAGCATGTCTCAGATTCAGATTCTGGCTCTTCTTCGTCTTGGTGGTTCACTACCAAGTTTAATGACTACAGATTGTCATCGTCTGATAACATCTAATTTCAAAATCAAACTTTTATCAGAAAACTTCAAAATAATTTTTATCAAAATTTAATATTTGAAATTTTCACCAAGAAAATACAAAGATTGTTATCAGGTTTATTGTAGTTCTTTCGAAATTTTACTTATTAGGATTATTTATCCAAATATTGTTAATTTTTTTTTGTTTAATTTGTATTGTTTATATTTAAAGATTTTCCTATCACTTTTTCGTTCAAATTCTTAACATTTCTCATTAAAACTGAAAATTCAATTTCATATCGAATCAAATCTTAAAATTATAAAATTTAAACAATAAAACATCGCTTGTTTCACCAAAATTTAATGCATAGCATAAGTATTTTTAATATTTCTTCAAATATCTCAATTTTATATCTAAATTTAAAAAGATTGTTTCGATATAAATAAAATATTTTATACATACAAACAAAAATAGTGGTTAATAACATTATTTCACTTTCTTTTGATACCATTCAATATGAATTTTATGATTATCGTCAAGATCTTTTCCGTCAAAGGTCTTCATGGCAGCAACAGCTTGTTCGTGAGTCTGATAAGAGATTTCAGCTGATACTTCCTTTGAATTTACTTCACTTGAAATAGAAATGGATTCAATCACTCCGCAAGTCTCGAAAAGCATTCTTAGCAATTGAGTAGAGATCGTAGGTGGAAGATTTGTAATCGTAATCGTTGTATTATTTTGATTTAATTCTTTTTCTTCTTTAACACGAATCATAAGCTCTTCAGCTACTTTGATATCGTTAATCTGAGCACTGCGCTCCATAATATACTCTTCTTTAGCGCGTTTATAGCGTTTTGTAGCGTATTTAAGTTTTTTCTTTAATTCTATAATTACATTAAGCGAAAGACTCTGTATAGGTCCTATAGATCTTAGCTCATCCTTTAAATCTTGATGTCTGGAAACTTCAGATTTCAATTTAACCTTTAACTTCTGTATTTTTCGTTTTTGATGCTCAATAGTATCATACAACTCTGAATATATCATTTCTTCGCGCTTGTCATTGATAAATTTAAGCTTTTTATCATTACTTTGTAATTTGGTCGTTAAGTTTGTAACTTCCATCTTTAGTAGCTTTATTTCATGTTTAAGGGAGTCTATAATATCATTATGTGTAACATCTTTCAGTTCTTCGATTTTATGGGCATTATCAATGGCATCTTGTCTCATTTGACCAAGTTCTTCTGCTTTCGTCTGTGAATATAGGACTTGTGCTTGAAGTCTTCCTACTTCACCTAAGTTTTGTTGGACAATTAGCTTCTTTAAATCTCGTTTTTGAATTTTAAGCTGTTCATTATGTTTTCTAAGTTTTTCAATATCAAATTCTAGTCTCATTTTCTGATCTTCAAGAAATTCTGCATTGTGGAGAACAGGATCTATATAAGTATTTGCTAATGGCCGAGTAGTTTTGTCAAAATCAACAACAGGAGCTTGAACAATGCTGATAAGTTTGGAAAATCCTTGATCGTAATCATATGCAAACTTAAGTTCTTTCTGCTTCGAATAGGAGCTAGAAGAAACTGCTTGCATTGCAAGCAGATAACAATTTTTTCGGGGTCTATAAATTTATATTTTTGGGTCTAGATTTGATTCAAAATTTTTTACAAAAATGAGCACATTTCTAAATATTTATTGGTATAAGTTAATCGATATAATTCTCAACAGATTTCGGAAAAATATTTAGATTTTAGATTTTTTTGATTCAAAATTTAGGAAAAATCAGGCCAAAATATTAATAAGACATAGTGAAAGTTCTTTTGGTGGTAACATTGAATTAATGTTTGGAGGAAAATCAAATTTAATTATATTGATATTATGTAATCGAAATTCTTATGATAAAAGAAAGATTAGAAATTTCTTCAATGGGCATCAATAAATTCAATCAACACTTAACTTTCGAACAGTTGATGGTTGCATTCCTAATGTAGTTGATTATTCGCAATACACAATCTTATTCTATACTCTGTGCATATATTTCATTATTAATCTTCATCTGTCAGATATACCATTCCTTCACAATCAGATACAATTATTTCTAACATAGTCTTTTGTGATATTTACTGGTGAACCCAAAATATCAGTAAAGCAATAGAATTTATAAACTCCGATCATTTTCACACGTTTCCAATTTTGGCTTAACAAAATTTATGGAAATGAACTTAATTCTAAATATATATTTAGCAAGATATAAAATCCAGAGTTCATAATAATTTGAAATATTATTTTGGATTCAACCCATGGAAAAAGGTTGAATTGGTTTTATATCTTTCACTTTCTATAATGTGATAATGATAGTTGAAAATTATCAAAACTGACACTTAATTTAAGAAAACCCATAGAATTGATTGTATGGGTCTATTTTTTAAGGTATCATAATAACTTCTAGAATATAGCTTCATCATATTCCTGGTTCAATGATAATAAGACATTAATATATAAAAATGCTCCTTCTGTTATTACACAACAAACACAGAATATTGATGCAACAGTTAATTTCTTCATTTATGGAAATGTCAAAGAAATCGGGGATAATGCATTTGCAAATTATACTAGTCTTGTAAATTTACATTTACCTGATTCTGTTGAAAAAGTCGGAAATTCAATAATCCAAAATACTAAAATCAGACTTTTTCATGTTCCTTTATCCATGAATCAAATTGATGGAGCTGGCTCATTTGATTGGGCATATTTTTTAGAAGAGTTCACAATTGATCCTGCAAATCAATATTTTTCCGTTGTTGATGGGATTCTTTATGATAAAAATATCAAAAGATTAATGACATTTCCAGCAGCTAAAAATATATCAGTATAACCAATACCCTATGGCGTTGAAGAAATATACTCGTCGGCAACAAATTGCATTCGCTATGTTGAAAAATTTATTATACCACAGACTTTAATACGACCTTATTCTATTCTCTTTGCTTCTACGAGTTTTAACATTAAAGTAATTGTTTTTAGATTCCCTGATCAAGATAAATCCACATTTCCAATTGAAGCTCAAGACACATTCTTTGGAATGCCGAATTACTCAATTGACAATATTACATATTATAAAGCATATTATTATGCAGAATACCATGATTCAGTCCAAAAAGTTATTATCAATGGATACAAACCCAATTCATTGGTTGAATATTCAGATCAATATTTCATAGATGTTGCAAACATTAATACAATTGAAATTGGAACTGGTATTTCTAAAATTAACAAAAACTCATTTAAGATATCACCAAGTGTTTCCTTTATTTTCAATTATAATATTCACACATTTATCCAACAAAAATGTTTTTCTTTTTCTTTTATAAACTATGCTTTTTTTATTTTCATGCTTCTTTCATAAACAATCAATATCTTTCTTATTAATAGTACTATAATCATATAAATATCCCTATGGATAGAAATATATTTATGTGGTTGAATATCTTATATTCACGGTAAAAAAAAGATAAGAGTTTATCAGAAATAACCTTAAAAGTGCTTTTCTGAGGGTAGTCTATCGTCTATATGGCACCCTTAAACTAAATTGAGTGAATATGTTGTTAACTCAACAGATGATACAATTAAATCGTTTGACAAAACCTATTCGGGGACAATTAAAATCACAACACAAACATATAAAAGAATTAGAAATGATGCATGTATAAGGTGCAAAGCTACAGGTCTGGATCTAAGTATGTCATTAATAACAACAATTGATGTTACAGCGTTTGCTTACTCTTCCTTAGAAAATTATTGTACCATCTTAAGATACTTTCATACACTATATTTAGACAATATCATTAATTGCATTTGGCCGGCCACAGAACCTCAAAATTTTGCCATTATTATTTTGTTCTGGAATAATGTCATTTGAAAGCACAACTATGAGTTTGAAACGAAGAAAAGCTAAATTAGTAATGGATCATGAAATTGAAAGGATTGATTTGTTGGTTTAGATATTGATACAAAATGCATCTGAGATATGTTTAATTATCATATACAGAAGATGATGTTTCAATAAAAGAATATGTTATATCAAAATGAGAATTCAACGATTATTACAATTTCAATTTATTTAGAATGTTCTGACCGTATTAAATCTTATTTGGTATCCGGTTTTATTTTTCATAATTTAAGGGTTATCGTAAATAATTCAAATTACAATAAAGATCATATAATTACGATATTATGAATGCGAGTGAAATATATTTCTTGGCTTAAAAACAATATAAAGAAAACATTTAAATAGGAATAACGCCTAAGTTTTCTCTTCTTCCGATTGTAAACTTAGGTCCGGTAAGAGTTGAACCGATATCGTAGTAGCCAGGTGTAGACTCAGGCTGATTCATTCTTGTTCTTATATGCATAGAAGCAGACGGAGCCCTTGGCTTAGTGAAATTGTAGTCAGGATAATAAGCTCCAGGTCCTGGCGAGGCATTTGCAGTATTTGGCTCTGCGTGTCTGCTGTGCATTGAACTTCTGATGCCTTCTCTTCCGAAAGTTGATGGGACCATATATGCACCTGGTCCTGGGGTATCTGAGTCACCTGATCTGCTCTGAAGGTATCTTCCACCACCAAATGTAAGTTTCTTGGCATCTGAACCGAAAGATGGTGGAACATAAGATGGACCAGGAGTTTCTTGTGTAGTACGGACTTCACGCCGACTGCCAAGAGAGATCCTTGGTCCCACTCCAATAGTTGATGGAATGTTGTGGTAAGGAGCTGTATTAATCGATGATGATGGAGGGTCATGACGACTTTTCATCGTGTATGATGGAGTATTTTTCATCGTTGATGCAAGAGATGGGTTGTAGGCTCCAGGACCTGGAGTGGCAGATGATGTAGAAGTGTAAGAACTACGAGTATGAAATGTAGCTGTTCTTCCACCGAGATCGCGACTGATTGCATATGCACCTGGTCCTGGGGTTATGTCAGATGTCTGCTGGATTGCAGTTCTAACGTGAAATGTAGAGGATGGAGGACGAGTACGAGTGGCAAGATAATCTGGATTGTATGCAGCGGGGCCAGGAGATTGCGATGATATCTGGAATGAATCTCCTGTCCTTCCGTGAAGTGTAAATTTCTTGGCATCTTTGGCGAATAATGGTTCTAATGAATATGCGCCTGGTCCTGGGTTATCTGATGATAAATCGCGCGAATCTGGATGTCTAAAAGAAAACGATGACTTTTTAGCATCTGAACCAAGAGGTGGGGGAATGTAGCTTGGTCCAGGGGAAGAATCAGAAGCTCTTTGAGCATGTCTGCTTGCAAGTGAAATTTTTGGACCAGCACCAATAGAACTGGGTAAGTCTCTATAAGGAGCATCGGTTATTTGCTGTGAACTTTCGTGTCTTCCTTTTAATGTGTAAGCAGGAGCTTTTGCTTTAGCAGCAAAGCCAGGAGTGTATGCTCCAGGCCCTGGAGTTGATGATTGACTTGAAGTAACGCGTGCAAGCATTCCAGATCTTTTCATCTTTACAAATGTAAAGGATTTGAGTTAACTCAATGAAAATTTCCTGAAACTTCGGAAATAAATTGTGACATCATGGCCGATTGCAAGAATTAAAAATACTCTCTTACTATTGGAAAAATACACAATTAAAATCACTCTTCACAATTTCAATCATATTTTTCAGAGAAAATTATTTTTGTAAAATCATTTTTTTTTCGTCTTCCGATTGGAGTTTTGTGCTAGAAAAGTATGCTCGATCCAAAGTTTCTGCATCATAAAAGAGCGAAATTTAATATGAAATTAGCTCCTTACAGACAAATTATATTTTCCAATTTTAATTAAAGGCATTACCACTATCATTTAGTCAATATTTTGATTTGATGTTTAGTACGCGAACAATTACATATTGTGTAACTCATCTATTTGATACTTATGATAGGAAGTATATTTTTCCCTTTTCTAATGGGATTTTCTTTACTAAAATATCATTAGACGAACTTTTATTTTGATTTTTAAGGATCATTGATCCATTATCTCATATTTTAAAATTTATTGAATTATTTTCTGATATACGATACCCAAAGATATAATTTTGAGAGTTTGTATATTCATGTTATATGAATTCACGCCTATTTTTATTGAAACTTCTTGTTCATCAAAAATAAATTATCGGGGAAAAAAATAGGTAAAACTTATATTTGAATATGTGGAAATATAATATTGCAGAACAATTCTTTGCTCGGATGAAAATCAAAAATCAAAATCGTTTCGAAAACAGTTCGAACTAAAAGGAATATGAAAACTTCTTTCGATTATCATTACACAGCAATTTATCTTACTCTTAGGCTATTATTCCAAATTACAGGTCGTGGTTGTATAAAATCAATAACAGGCATTCTGATTGAAGGACAATAGAATATTTTGTATGATCAATCTCAAAAAAATTCTTTACGAGATTATGAAATTCTGAGAGAAAATTTATTGTTGTCATGTCAACGATTTATTTTTCTAGGAAAGAATGGAGATCAAATAAACTGGCAATAAAAATGCTATCAAAAGTTGATCCAACATAACTTTCATTAATAGAGCATTATACCCATATTACTAGGCTTATGCACATTTATATAAACAACCAAAAACCAATAAGTAAAATTCATGAATTCACAATCGTTCAATTGTCTTGGAATGCTCAATGATTCTGTTCATACATTACAGTTTTAAAATTTTCTTGAAAACTCTTATTTTAATTACGGTAACGATCGATTCTTATTCAAATATTGAATGTTCATTGAAAACTTTCGGATTATTGCGCATGAACGAAATTATAATAACAGGAGATATCCCACTGAATGGATACTACAATAATCTAACGCTTTTCAATGTTACTGTCCTACAATGCGCATCAATTGGAAATTACGCTTTTCAACATTGTACTAATCTCAAAGAAATCAAATTTGATACTGAACTCTCAAATATTTCTTTAGGATGCTTTAAAGAATGTAGTTCCCTTCAAAAAATTACGCTTCCTCGAAATTTGAAATTTATAAATGATGAAGCATTTTATTATTGCAATATGCTTACAGATATACACATACCAGATACAGTTGAAGAAATTGGTACATCATGTTTTCAAAATTGCCAAAATCTAAATCAAATTAATTTTCCTCAAAATCTTAAAATAATAAAAGAAAATGCTTTTAATAGTACAGGATTGCTTTCTCTATCATTTCCAAACAGTCTAATTGCGATCGGAAGTTATGCATTTACAAATTGTTATTTTATACACGAAACAACTTTTAATGACAACTTAATTGAACTTCCTGAGTCATGTTTTGAAAACTCATTCAATATGATTGCTTTAAATCTTCCAGAAAATCTTAGAGTTATCAGACAAAATTGCTTCAGAAATTGTTCAATTAAATCGATTAATTTTAAAACTAAACTTACAGCTATTGAAAGTTATGCATTTTCTAACTGTGTTCCTTTTAAAGACTTAAATTTACCAACTTCATTGGCATCGATAGGAGATTCATGCTTCAATAATTGCGATGGAATCGAAAATTTGATTATCCCTTCCAATTTGGTTGTTAGAGGAAATCAAAGTTTTTCAAATATTTTAAATCTAAGTAGAGTCACATTCCAGAGTGGCATCGACATAATTTTTAAAGAAGAATTTGCAAACTGCACAAATCTTAAAGATATTGAGTTGCCTTCATCATTAACTACAGTTCGTGAGAAAGTTTTTTTCAATACAGGTTTAATTTCTGTAAATCTCCCAGCAAATGCAATAAATTTTGGTTCATCAGTCTTTAAAAATTGCTATAAATTGAATCAAGTAACATTCAGTCCAGAAACAAAGAATTTCTCAGAATCATGCTTTGAAAATACAATTATTACAGGTGTTTTAAATCTTCCTCATGGTTTGGAAACAGTTTCAAAGAGTTGTTTTAGAAATACTTCTATTTCATCCATTAAATTCCCTACAACTTTATCTCTTATTTATGAATATGCTTTTTATAACTGTTCAAAATTGGCCATATTGACTTTTCCTAATATAATAATATCAATGGGGCCATATTGTTTTGCAGGATATAATCTTATAGAAGAGCTGATTATACCATCTTCTTTCGATTCTGGCAGATATTTTAATTATTATTATGGTTATTATTATTATGAAGGCAAATACTATAGCTCTTATTATTGGAGCCGCTATTCCTGCAGATATCATTGTTTTGATGGAAATAGAAATCTTAAAAAAGTAGAGTTTGAAGAGGGAATTACTTTTATCTCTGATTGTGAATTTTCAAACTGTATTAGCCTCATAGATGTAAAGCTACCTCAATCTCTTTCTTCAATTGGAGGATTTACTTTTAATAATACTGCAATAACAAAGATTATTTTACCCAAAAAAACTCTTTCTTTTGGATATGGAGTATTCGCGAATTGTTCTTCGTTAAAAGAATTTAAACTTAGTAATTTGACAGTATTACCTGCATTTTTCTTTCAAAATTCATTTAATTTTTCAACTTTGACACTCCCATCAACAGTATATCAAATTGAAGTTCACTGTTTTGAAAATTGCAAATTAAAATCTATTGAAATTCCATTATCGATACGCTACATATATGAATTCGCATTTTCTAATTGCATTACTCAAAATTTATTAATAATTCCTGATTGCACAATATGGATTTATGACAATACTTTCAGTGGAATATATTGCAATGAAGAATTTATTGTCAAAACAAATATCATTATTGCTGGTAGCAACTGCTTCAAAAATTGTAGAAACATAAGAAAAGCTAAAATTGAAGCTGGATTTACAAGAGTCCCATACGGGATATTTTGGGATTGCATAAATCTTGAGGAAGTTGAGCTCCCAGAAACAATCCAATCGATCAAAGATAATGCATTTAGGAATACAAAACTCCGATCAATTATCATCCCTAGTGCTGTAACTTCAATTGATTATGCTGCATTTAAAGATTGCTATCAATTGAAAACAGTGTATATGACCAATAATGTAAATTTTGTTGGGGCATCCTGCTTTGAAAATGATCAAAATTTAGACAATTTAACTCTGACTCAAAGCATCACTACAATTTCTGGATATTGCTTTAGGAATTCATCAATTCCTTCCTTTAATTTACCATCATCAGTAACAACAATTAGTATGCAAGCATTTGAGTATTGTATTACTCCAAAGAGATTAGTTGTTCCTGAACAAATATATACAATTGATTCTTTTGCATTTCATGGATGTATTAATCTCAGCTATATTGAAATTCAGGGATATACATATTTGGCATACTCAGTATTCCTTGAATGCTTAAACTTAACAGAACTTGTAATACCAAATAAAGTTCAAATTGGTTATGATTGCTTCAAATATTGTACGAACCTTCGATCAGTTAATATGAGTAGAACATATTCATTCGATTATTCCTATATTGAATCAAATGCTTTTCAGAACTGTACAAACTTAGAGTATTTCGATATGCCAGATGTTAAATACATTGGTGATATGGCATTTATGAACTGTGAAAATATTTGCAGTATTAAAATTCCAGGTTATACAATTCTTTGGGATTCATGTTTTGAAAACTGCATTAGGTTAATATATCTCTATCTGGGAGATTTAATTAGTTATCATTATCATTGCTTTTATAATTGTAATAGAATTAAATATGTTTTCATAGATTCAAGTTTTGCATATGATGCAATAGATCCAATATTTTTACATAAGGTTTCCATAATAGTATCAATGGCTTCAGAAAATGAATACGATGACATTTGTGAAAGATTATCTTCATATGCGAAAAGATATTATATGATAGGATTGGAATCAGAATACTTTAGTGAAACTTGTTCAATTCCAATCCTTCCACCTCCAAATTTATCCTCTCTACAATGCCCGAAAACTTTTCCAGCATCTCCATCATTTGGTTACGATAGATCTTTTCACCGGCATCACTTTGAAATGTTTTGTTTAGGTTTGTTTTAACTCATATAAATGTTATTACTTTTATTTGTATAGAAATTCAAAACTTTTTAACACATATCTCTAGATTCAAACATATTGATTTAAAATCTAAAAATTATAATATTCAGTTTCACATATGATCTTTGCTCATATAAATCTTTAATTCCATGTTTAAGGGTCTACCTACGCCCATCTGACACGATTCATATTTCTGACAAATGATTTGAAAAATCATTGAAAATTAACCTTAAACAAAAGAATTGTGGGCTAAATTACACAAGCATAGGTACACCCTTAAACATTACTTTTTAAAACTTTTCGAATGCATGCCTCTTTCCTCAATATATATATATATGTGATATAAGAAAGCAAATTTTCAAATCTTATGTGGATAATTCATGTTTTGGATTTAAGTTGATGATTGCATTAGCTATGAAAAATGAAATCCATTTGAAGTGAGATCCAGTTATTTACCAGATTTCCGTTGTGATTGAATTCCAAAAATTTCTCTAGATAAGTAAAATCGCTTTGTGATATTATAAACAGTCATACATTAATGTAAGTAGCTATTTCGTTCAGCCTTCTTTTATTTTTCATATCAAATTTCCAATACATATTTTAAATTTTTCTTCAGAATGAGTAATTCATGTGTCATTCAAATTGATTTAAATAATTATCTTTTATTTTTTCTTTCGATCAGTATTTTGATCAGTCATCGTTTTTTTTTTCTTCAAATCCGATTGAATTTTACAATTTATGAAGAAACCTTGTTTATTCCATTTTCATCACTCAGTAGTTCAATTTATTTAATTCAAAAATTAAGAGTAAAAAGAAAAGTTATCATAACCGTATCTATCACATACTATTTTATTCCATCCTTTGCGTTTGGAGATATAAATTATTCTATTAGAAAAAGATCTAAGTATATCCTTCAATTTTTTAATCGGTTTTCATGATCGATATAGGTTAAAATAAATAGGTTTCAGCTTTACAGCAATTATTTTTTGAGAACTCATTGAAATCCAATCCCTTAATAACATAATCTCCTTTAATATCTATTGAAGACCAACTATAAAAAACGGTTGGACTTGACTTTTGAGCTATATTTCAAAATTTGAATTAAAATATTTTTGCCAATCTACGATTATTTTCAATACAAATTCTGAATAATATTAAAATCAAAAATGCTCACATCGAGACAATATTAATCTATTCATTTTTTGGGTGCTAATATTTCCTTATAAAAACATTTTTTCATAAAATTTTTTGTTTTCATAGAAAATCATGGAAACTATGATAATTAGAGGAAATATCTCAGATTCTGAGTACGATTATAATCAAACACTGTATAATATCACCATTCTTGAGTGTTCATCAATTGGTTATTCTGCATTTCATGCATGTCAGCAACTTTTAGAAGTAAGAATTGATGGTGACCTTACAAACATATCCAGCTATTCATTCAGTTATTGTACTGCCCTCAAAAAAATAACATTTCCGCCCACGATAAAATTTATCAATAATGGAGCATTTTCTGGGTGTCGAGGTCTCATCCAATTTTCTATTCCAGATACAGTCGAAGAAATTGAAGACTATGTTTTTGAGAACTGTGAAAATTTAGACTTCATTGATTTTGGAAATAATATTAAAAAAATTGGCAAATGGTGCTTTTATGAATGCAAATCATTACAAAATATATCATTTCCCAATAATGTTGAATATATTGGCGATGAAATATTTTATTATTGTTTTAATCTGACGAATTTTAGTTGGAATTCGGATAAACAAGTTTACATAGGTGGATCAATTTTTTATTGCTGCTTTAAACTTGTAAATGTTCAACTTCCGCATTTAATTGAATTCATTCCATATGGTTGCTTTTGTGCTTGTAGTAGTTTGACGCACATACCTGTAGTTGACAATTTAAAAGCTATTGGAGATAGTGCATTTTATCTTTGCCCTAATCTTCATGATTTAATTTTACCAGATTCTCTAATCGAAATTCAGAATTATGCATTTTATTGGTGCCCATTCGAATCGGTTGTATTACCTCAAAATCTTATATATTTAGGGAGAAGTGCTTTTTCTGAATGCCAAAATTTAAGATAATTTCAATTTAATGATAAAATTTCAGAACTTAACGTATCCTTATTCCAAAATTCCTTTAATCATGTATCAATTACTATTCCACAAGTTATTACAAAAATCCATGCAAGGTGTTTTAAAAATAGTTCAATAACCGAAATTATTTTACCTCAAAATCTTGTTGAAATTGGAGAATATGCATTCCATAACTGTACACTATTGAAATCTATTGTTTTTCCAAGCTTATTAGAGATTATTGGCGAGTCTTGCTTTAATAATTGTACAAACATAAGAGAATTAAAAATTACATCGAAACTAACAAGGAGAGGCTTACATTGCTTTGGACTTATGAGTAAATTGGAAAAGGTTGTCTTTGAAGATGGTTCAGAATCAATATATGAAGAAGAATTTTCAGATTTAATGAATTTACGCGAAATTAAATTACCAACCACCTTGAAATCGATAGAATATCGCGGTTTCTTTCGTTCAGGATTGCCATCAATAGTGATACCAAATACAGTTACATTAATTGGAAGTGAAGCTTTTAAGGATTGCTATTCATTAAATCAAATAATATTCAGTACAAATCTAGAAATTTTGAACGCCTCTGCCTTCGAAAATTCATTCAATTCTGCCATTGTCGATCTACCAAATAACTTGAAATCAATCAATGATTATTGTTTTAGAAATAGCTCAATTACACAAATTAACTTCGGTTCTTCAATAGAAAGTATTGGCCATTATTCATTTTATGATTGTCACTTACTAACATCTTTGCAATTCCCAGACAAAGAAATATCACTTGGCAATTATTCTTTCAGTGGAAAAAGTTCAATCAAAGAAATTTCAATACATTCAAAACTCACTGGCCGTGAAAATCATCCATTCTTTAATATGAGTGACATTAATAAAATAACATATGGAGAGAATCGATACAATATATCAAGAAGAGCTCGCCTTTTATACGAATCTAAAAGAAATCAACTTGCCAAGTACATTAAAATCAATAAATGAATGTACATTTTATTGTACAGGATTATTATCAGTAAATCTTCCAAATAGTTTAGAAACAATTGGTAAGAGAGCATTTATGAACTGCTATTCTCTTCATGAAATTACTTTCAATGATAATTTGACGGCGCTTCCAGAATCATGTTTCCAAAATTCATTCAATCTGACAATTTTGCGATTACCAAAAAATCTAACAACAATCGGGGTAAAGTGTTTCGATAACTGTTCAATAGTTTCAATTATCTTTAATTCACATCTAACAATGATAGACAATATGGCGTTTAATAATTGCAGTCTGTTAACAGATTTAGACTTGTCCATTTCTTTAACACAATTGGGAGACTTCACTTTTCAGTTTTGCAACGAGATTGAAATAGTAACAATTCCTCTAAATTTAAATATAGGAGGCAAAAATTGCTTTGGAAATATGGATAAACTAAGGAAAGTAATTTTTCAATCAGGAATTACAAAAATATTTAAATATAAATTCGCATTTTGCACTAATCTTACGGAAATAGAATTACCTAATACTCTTTTGACAATAGAAGATTGCGCCTTTCTCAATACTGGATTAACTTCTGTTAGTCTTCCAGAAAATGTTTCATCAATTGGCGCTATGGTATTTCAAGATTGCTATTCATTGAATCAGATTTCTTTTAATGATAATTTGACATCTGTAGGACAATCTTGCTTCCGAAATTCACTTCATCTTGATGTTTTAACATTACCATCAAAGTTAGAATATATTAATGAATACTGTTTTTTCAATTGTTCAATCAATTCAATTGCATTTCCAAATAATTTAAAAACGATCCATAAATTTGCTTTCAGCAATACTGGATTGAAAACATTGGAACTTCCAAACATATCGATACAATTGGGACGCTCAGCATTTGCAAATAATTTATTATCGGTGTTATTCATACCTAAAAATATTAGCCGTATGACAGCTTTTTATTGTTTTAGTGGAAACAGCCATTTGAAGAAATTGGAATTTGATGAAGGTATTGAAACAATTTATGAAGGAGAGTTTTCTGGATGTGAAAGTTTAACAGACATCAAAATTCCTGACTCAATACAAACAATTCAAAAGTATGCCTTTAACTATACTGGTATAACTAAATTCATATTGAAAGATAGTATTACTAATATTGGAGATTTCGTATTCACAAATTGCCACTCTTTGAAAGAATTCAAATTTAATAACATGAGTACTCTGTCAATAGGATGTTTCCAAAATTCATTTAATTACTCTGATTTGAAACTTCCTAATACGATAACAGAAATTAAAGACGGTTGCTTCCAAAATGCCTTATTAAACTCTCTTGAACTTCCAACATCATTATACTATGTGAGAAGTTATGCATTTTATGAATGTTTCACAAATAACATAATTCATTTACCAAATGTTCCGATTTTTTTTATAGGATTATTGCTTTAGTGGATGCAGTTTGGGAGATGAAATTACAATTACATCAAATATAATAATAAGGGGAGTTCATTGTTTTGATCATTGTAAATATCTAAAAAGAGCTGTTTTTCCAAATGATATTACTCGAGTACCATTTGGTATATTTGCAAATTGTGTGAATTTCACAGATATCGAATTGCCAGAATCAATTCTTACGATCAAAGACGAAGCGTTCATGAATACGGGATTAGTAGCCATCAATCTTCCAAGCAAATTGCAATCAATCGAATTCGCCACATTTAAAGGTTGCTATCATTTGAAAAACATTTCATTTGGCAAAAACATTACTTTTATTGGAGCATCATGCTTTGAAAATGCTTTAAACTTTTTCAGTGTGATATTACCTCCTAAGATAACTTCAATTAGTGGAAACTGTTTCAAAAATGCTTCTCTAGCTTCATTAGAGATACCTGAATCTGTCACTACAATTGGAGTGATGGCATTTGAAGATTGCCATCTTCCAGAAAAATTGACAATTAGCGCTAAGATATATAATGTTGATGTTTTTGCATTTCATGGATCAAAGAACTTAAAAGTCATCCATTTTCTTGGAATAACTAATATTGCATATACCGGTTTCCTAGAATGCCAAGATTTAGTTGAAGTTCTATTGCCTCAGAAAGGAAGAATTGGCTATGATTGCTTCAAAGGATGTAAAAATCTGAAATTTGTCAGAAAACATATGACAAGTGGTTACAATGAATTAGGTTTCCAAACGAACGCTTTCCAAGACTGTATTAATCTTCAGGAATTTCCATTCTCATACACATATTCAATAAATGATGAATTATTTAAGAACTGCATAAATTTGCAAAATCTAGATCTTGAAAAGACACGATATATTGGAAGTATGGCATTTTATAATTGCTCCAATCTTACTTGTGTACATATTGCAGATAACGCATATGTAGAATATGCTTCTTTTCAGTATTGTGTCAATTTGAAATATGTATACTTAGGGAAATTTTGTAAATTATATCCAGATGCATTTAGTGATTGTTAGAATATCAAGTTTATTATTATTGATTCCTCAACTATTCTCTGTTATTATACACCTGGTTTTATAAGATTTTTTTCAACGAAAACCCCCTTTATTGTTACAGATGCAGACCCTAATCAATATATTGATGTTTGCATTTATTTGATTAATTCAGCTTCTAAATTGCATTTTGTTGGTCTTGAAAGAGAATACTTAAATGAAACGTGCAGTATTCCAATGCTTCCAGTTCCAAGTGGCCTTAGATTAACAAAATGCCAAATTCGTCCTGAAACTCTTTTGCACGAACGAGATTTTTCTCGTTATCATTTTGAATTTATGTACCTTTTATCTGCATAGTAAATTTATCATGTTATTAATTGCTTTATTACTGGTCTTTTTATGAATTATTATTGAGAGAAATAGTGAAATTAATTCATTGAATTTTGCCAGAAAAGTTAATTTTTGACATAAGAATTATTTATCGTCTTTTATTAGAAAAAGTAACAGTGGGATCTATAACAGAATGGATTCCTATGATGTTTTTGATTTGTTTCAAATGAATGGCTAGAAAATGGATTGGAACTATGCCACAATTTATGAACTAAAAAGTTTAATTTTAATTAAATTTTAACTTATTATCTTATTAAATAATATTTTTATAAAATTTAACAACATATACTATAGAAGTTTAATTTAATTTGAATTAAGCTTATTAGTTCTTAAATTATTTGTGAAATAATTTCCAAAATTCAACAATTTTTATGAGAAGTTGTTCACATCTGAAATCTATAAGAACTCAGCGTGCATACAGTTAGGTTTACATTTAAATAGTTTAAAATCTAAACAAAAGAACATTTGAATAATGCAAATCTACATTATTTTCTCTAATTTTTTAAGAAAACGTTATAAGTCTGTTCATCTATACTCAAAATTATTAACAAAATTACAGATTCTCATCATTTGGAAAGATTTGAATTTCATTTATTGAGCGTTGCTGTGCCTTTCCATATATTATTAGTTTCCATTTTTGAATTTGATTTGTAATTTCTGACTCTTAGCTCAAGAGATTAATTTTATGTTTGCTTTTTTTGACAGCTAAGTTGATCAGATTGAAAATAAAAATGAATATCATCGATAAAACAAAGTCCTTTAATCAGTTCAGCACTAAAAGATTGAATTGATGAAGAGTTTATTGCAAAAATTTTTTGTTAAGCTAAATTCAATTTTTTTCACCATATAATTGCGTTTTGTTTTAACTTTTTCTTTAATTCAAAAAAATCAATCACTATTGAAAAGTGCGTTCAAATGAAAAACCCCTCATATTTAATATCACATAATATGAACATATTTTGTATGAATATGATTCTAATGAACGATAGAAATTGAGAGTTTTTCAAAATCATTAATCTTGATTTGTCAAAAATTTCTGATGATAAGTTAATCAGCCCTGAACGAAAGTATCATTCATTCTTGGCTGAGCTATTCATCTTATTCCGCTTCGTTTTAGATTGAATTTACAACATTTTTTATAGCAATCAATTTTGGACTATGGAGATTGTTTTATTAAGGGTGCACCCGTATGTACGTTTATTTGAGAGGAGGAGGATTACCCTCTCAATTTTGAGGGATTCGTTAGTTTATTTTCTCGATGAATATGCAATAAAATTTGATTTTTACCTTATCAATATACTTCATATAATATACACATGTTCATGTAAAAACTTTTTTCCAAAATCCTCAGGAATTAAGGGATTTTTGAATTTTAAGAATTTTTTTCGAATTTTTTCGAAAAAAAAAATATTTTCAGAACAGCCTTAACGGCTAAGATTTAGGAACAATGTTAAGTATCAAAAAGAAAGGAGGTCTGATATAGACAACATATATCGTTGAAGGTTGAAAAAATCTCTAATATTTGAGCCCAAAATTTCAAATTTTAATTTTTTGAAAAAAGAGGCCACCCATATGTACGTTTATTTGAGAGGAGGAGGATTATATTTTTGAAAGGGTGAAACATTATGAATATGTTAATTATATAATAATATGTATTATTATAAAAAAGAAAAAATAAAGCACGTTAAAATTTTTCTTTCTTGATTTTTTACAAAATCTACTTAGAATTATGCAAAATATGACTAAATAATTATAAATTTCAAGTTAAATTTTAATTTTGATAAATAATTTAAATTTCAAAATATCAAGTTCAGTTCGACTATGTATGTAGTAATTCCTCAATAAAGTGCCAAAATCCTATTAAAATATATGAACATTTTCAACATTTTAATGTTTTTATTTAAAAATTTGATGGAATATGAGCTTCAAACAATTATTATGTAAATAAAAATAATTAAATATATGTATTTATTCGTATTACAACCGTAGTAAGTCGATTCTTCCTTTCTTCTACTGAGTTTTGAATTTGATTTCGAATTGTAAAGAGATTCAAAGGGAAAATACTAGCGGAGAAAAACTACCTCCATGAAAGGGTCATAATGGACTCAAGTTGTATTTTTTGATATTTTTTGCTTTTCGAGCCTAAATAGGTAGCCAAGATAATGCCTAAAAATAAGGTTCTAAATTCTGAAGTTTACGTGATCCTCTCGTGTGCACCCTTAATTTATTGGGCAATTTACATGTAACTCCAAACCATTTATATATGCAGAGATTCATTTCGTAATTTTATAACAATAACAGGTACATTACTATTATATTACTCTGATTTCAAAAGCCCTGTAATTTTTCCAAACATATAACACGAAACAGGCACTTATTTTAATTTATATGGCTTAAGGAGAGTTTAATTGGATGCATGAACAAGACTGTAATGCATATATTAAAAAATATCATTTAAATTAATCTTTTTTGGGGAGTGGGGGACAAACTCGCCCATTGTCACCTTTTCATTAACCTTAAACTTGTAATTTTCATTATTTTTAATTAACCTTATTTCTTTCCCAATTCCTGATTTATTTTATTCACTTACTATTAAAAGTCACATTTTAACAAAATATAATAATTTATTTATAGCATTTTTTACTATACTGTAATAAAAAATTAATTATAATAAATTAAATGTTTATTAAATCAAATGTTTTCTTTGCAATAATATTTTTAATGTTGAGTAAACAATGTTGGGATCAAGTGTATCATTTTTCAGACCTTTCTGAACAGCTTCAAGCATACTGATGCATTCGACTTTTTTAAATTGTGTCATTTCTTCGAAATCTCTTGTGACTTTTTTGATAACTTTAACACTTCTCTCTGAATCCAGACCTTTAATTTGCAACTTAATCAGGAATGAAGGAACAACACTGGAATATAACTCGATGACAAGTTCATCGAGTCGAAGATTTGGTTGTACACCACTTGTATGTGCCGGATACCATTGTGTCAACTTTTTTCTGAAATTAACTTTAAAAGTACTAAGTAAGATCATGAGATATAGCAATATATGTTTAAACTAACTTATATTTTGGTTGTACACCACTTGTATGTGCCGGATACCATTGTGTCAAATTTTTTCTGAAATTAACTTTAAAAGTACTAAGTAAGATCATGAGATATAGCAATATATGTTTAAACTAACTTATATTTTGGTTGTACACCACTTGTATGTGCCGGATACCATTGTGTCAAATTTTTTCTGAAATTAACTTTAAAAGTACTAAGTAAGATCATGAGATATAGCAATATATGTTTAAACTAACTTATATTTTGGTTGTACACCACTTGTATGTGCCGGATACCATTGTGTCAAATTTTTTCTGAAATTAACTTTAAAAGTACTAAGTAAGATCATGAGATATAGCAATATATGTTTAAACTAACTTATATTTTGGTTGTACACCACTTGTATGTGCCGGATACCATTGTGTCAAATTTTTTCTGAAATTAACTTTAAAAGTACTAAGTAAGATCATGAGATATAGCAATATATGTTTAAACTAACTTATATTTTGGTTGTACACCACTTGTATGTGCCGGATACCATTGTGTCAAATTTTTTCTGAAATTAACTTTAAAAGTACTAAGTAAGATCATGAGATATAGCAATATATGTTTAAACTAACTTATATTTTGGTTGTACACCACTTGTATGTGCCGGATACCATTGTGTCAAATTTTTTCTGAAATTAACTTTAAAAGTACTAAGTAAGATCATGAGATATAGCAATATATGTTTAAACTAACTTATATTTTGGTTGTACACCACTTGTATGTGCCGGATACCATTGTGTCAAATTTTTTCTGAAATTAACTTTAAAAGTACTAAGTAAGATCATGAGATATAGCAATATATGTTTAAACTAACTTATATTTTGGTTGTACACCACTTGTATGTGCCGGATACCATTGTGTCAAATTTTTTCTGAAATTAACTTTAAAAGTACTAAGTAAGATCATGAGATATAGCAATATATGTTTAAACTAACTTATATTTTGGTTGTACACCACTTGTATGTGCCGGATACCATTGTGTCAAATTTTTTCTGAAATTAACTTTAAAAGTACTAAGTAAGATCATGAGATATAGCAATATATGTTTAAACTAACTTATATTTTGGTTGTACACCACTTGTATGTGCCGGATACCATTGTGTCAAATTTTTTCTGAAATTAACTTTAAAAGTACTAAGTAAGATCATGAGATATAGCAATATATGTTTAAACTAACTTATATTTTGGTTGTACACCACTTGTATGTGCCGGATACCATTGTGTCAAATTTTTTCTGAAATTAACTTTAAAAGTACTAAGTAAGATCATGAGATATAGCAATATATGTTTAAACTAACTTATATTTTGGTTGTACACCACTTGTATGTGCCGGATACCATTGTGTCAAATTTTTTCTGAAATTAACTTTAAAAGTACTAAGTAAGATCATTTATTTTTGCATAATATAATGCCAATATGGTTTCTTTTGATTTTATTTCATTTATAAGCAAATCAGATTTACCCAAAAACTCCACTCCATAAGCGTTCATTTGCTAAATTAAAAAGTGACAATGGGCTAGTCTGTCCCTTTCTCCTTTTTTGGGGCTTTCACCTAAAATGATGTTATCACAAATTTACATAATCCAGGTATACAATGAGCTATAAATCAAAATTAAAATTTTATATTGATTCAGCCTAAAAAGCTCAATTTTTTATGAAAGCAAAATGAATTTACTTATAATAATATATGGGTAACTTGTACTTTCAAGAAGATTAACAGATTTTCAATCAATTTTCAATCAATTTCTCGACCTTTAATTTTTTGTTCAGAGAAAGCCGGAAGATTATCCATATCTAAAAACTAAGTAATTTCCATTCGTTGCCACAAATATCTATATTATTGAATAATTTATGTAATATTAAGTCAAAAGAACATAAACATGGCATAATTACAAGATAGTACTAACTATGCTTCAATTTGAGTTCATCTATAAATGATTATATATTAAAAATTAAAATAAAATAAAAAATATATTTGAATTTTTATAATAGACCTAGATATTTTGCATCAACAATACCTACAATTATCAATGATTTCAAATAACTAGGATTTATTTGTTTTTTGCAGGTTAATCGATGACATTCTTCAACTGCTTCTTTATTAAGAAATGCAACTTCGAAAAGGTTATCGAGATACGACCGAGTTCGATTCTGAATATCAACTCCACATTTAAGACTGTAACAATTTGCGAATGCATTTGATCCAATTTCAGTTACTGAAATTGGAATATTGATATGAGTTAATGAAATACAATCTGCAAATGCATATCGACCAATAGTTTGCACAGAATAATCTGGAATTAGAATATTAATGAGGTTTCTGCATTCAAGAAATGCACCAGCTGATATATTGTGAACTGTTTCAGGGATATAAAAGAACATGAGTTCAGAAGCAGGAGGGTAGCAAACTAATGAAGTTTTATTCTTATCAAAGAGAACACCATTGATTACCGAAAAATATTCACTCTGTGTGCATTCGAATTCTTTCAATGACTTACAACCCTCGAATGCCGAAAATCCAAGACTTTGTAATGAACAATTTTCAGGAATAGTAAATCGTTCTAAACTTGTACATTGACTAAATGCATATTCTGATATGACTATTGTTTGATTCGGAACTCTAAATGTTGTGATGTTTGTATATTGAAATGCATTCGCTTGAATCTCTTTGATGTAGTCAGAAAGTATTATGTTGCGCAATTTTGTAGCATGAACAAATGCTACATCTTTTATAGTTTCAATCGGGGGATTTCCTACAAATGTTATGTTTTCGACTCCAGAGTATCTAAAAATACCTCTTCCAAGAGTTGTTAATGATGGAGGAAGTTCAATTGATTTCGATGAATAGGTAAAATCGAAGCAATTATTTAATATTGTAGTAGTTTTATTACTTAACTTAATTGATTTTAGCTTTTTACAGTGCGCAAAGACTCCATGATTTAATGTAGTACTACTTGATTCAAAAATTACTGTTTCTATTGATTGATCGGTCATAAATGCATAATTATCAATTGTTAATAAATTTATTTTAAAATGAATTTCAGTAAGTAAATCGCATCCTATGAATGCACTAATCCCTATGTATATCAATGATTCTGGGAAATCTGTTATATTGAACTTCTTACATCCTCCAAATGCATCACCACCTATTGATTTTAAGGAATTTGGAAGATTTATATACTGAAGGTTACCGCATTCAGAAAAAGCCGAACCACCAATCACAGTCAATTTGGAATCTGGTAGAAAGTTTATTGTTTTCAGTTCATTAATTCCACGAAAGGCTGCTTGTGATATTTCAGTAACAGTATCAGGAATGTCATATTTTTCATTTAAGCTCAAGCACAAAATAATCTTCTCCTTATTTGAATTATAAAGAATATTTTGATGATCAAACCAAAACTGGGAATTTGGAGGTAATGTGAGATTTATATCGTTTGGAAAGCATGATCCTCCAAAGTTTTGAACGCTATTTGGAATTAAAATACTCTTAAGATTAATGCATCTAAAAAATGCATATGGTTCAATTATTTTTACTCCATCTTTAATAGTGATTTGAGATAAATTAGAATATGCAAAGCAAGAATTTGGAATAATTGTCAGATTTTTACCAAGAATTACCGTGTCGAGATATTTGCAATTATAAAAAGCATTGCCATAAATTGTTGTAACGGAATCCGGAATTGCGAATGATTTCAAATGTGAATATGCAAAAGCAGATCCTTGTATCAAATTTAAACCAGAATTGAATGTTATTTCTTCTAACAATGAATATATAAATGCCTTATCACCAATAACTTTAACAGAGTCTGGTATACTAAATGAAGTAACGTTATTATACGGAAATATAATAATTGATGTTTTTTGCTTATCATATAAAACATTAGAGAGAGGGTCAAAGTTGCTATTTGTCACTTTTCCACAAGAATATAAGGGGAAAAAGTTATCATATAGTTGATCTCATTCAGTGAGGTGAGAGATGCATGTAGTGTAATGGGATAAACAGTGAGATTGCTGCTCTAAGTCCTAGGTTCGAGATACATTGGCTTCATTTTTCTCTTTTTTATTGACGTAAACTATTCAATTTTTGTGTTCTCCATTCAAATTTCAGAATTTTTTTTGCAGATTTCACGCTACATTCGAAGTTACCTTTTGTAACAACCACCACTGCCTACGAAAGACGAAAGTGTGTCACGATTTCACCCGGAAATCCGACGGTTGTTTAAGAGTATGCACTTTTGTCACCTACTCTAAAACATTATCTTCTGATAAAAAATTTGTGTTTTGAGCATCACATTCTATAAATTCTATTGTTCTACAATCTTTAAAGGTTTCGTGGGTAATACTTCTTAGATTCTTTGGAAGAAATATTTGTTTTAATGATGTTTCCATAAAAACATATGCTGCTATTATTTCAAGCTTGGAATAAGGACTGATAGTTATTGAACTTAAAGAGTATGACCTAGCAAAACAATATTCTCCTAAAGCTATAACTTCGTCTGGAATTGAAATGGAATGCATTGAATAACAATGGGAAAAAGCATTGTTTGATATCTCTTTGAGATTTTTTGAAAGAATAATATCAGACAACAAATAACAACCAGAAAATGCTCTATCTTGTATCTGCGTAAGATTCTCACAGTTTGTGAAATTAATTGTTTGAAGTTTACTACAGCTTTCAAAAGCATGGGGACCAATTGTTTTAAGTTTGGATTTTGGTGGAAATGTGATAGAAACAAGAGTTGTCTGGCTCCCTTTGAAAGCATAATTATTTTCATCTCCATATATAGTTTCACATTCAACTTTAAGATGAACCTCAACGCATCTATCATTTGCATAGAGAATTCGATTATTTTCGAGATAAGTCTCCCCAACAACTATTTTTCAAGTGTCAATCTCTGTAAAAAAGAAAAAAAATTGGGGATTATATTTTGATTTTTATTTTAATAATAATAGTTAAAACGAAAAGTTGCAGAATTTTGCAAAATTCATTTTCGGGCGGCCGATTATTTAAGATCCGCATCAAATAATTCTGAAGTTTACAATTGAAAGAAAAAAGTTATTCATTTTTTGAATGTGTGAAAGAAGCTGGAAGGACTGTACAAGAACCATAACTTCCTAACCACTAGTCTCTCTTAGAAAGTACCTGATATATAGACTATTTTTTTGAAGAAATTATTATGAAAATTAATATGATTGTAAAAGCTTTTTATAAACTATTGCAAATGACCAAAAATTAATTTTTAAAAACATACACTCTATTTTTTATTTTTAATATAATTTTCATAATCATCTTTTGTTCCATTAGGATTTTCGAGTTGCCAATCAATCAATTCATCAACATGTACCTGGAAACCCTTTCCCGGTTTAATTCCCAAAAGTTTTGCCAGATCTTTTCCGTTAATAAGGCATTTCATGTCATAACAAGTAGTTAGATCTTGTTCTGTGATGAATTTGAAAAGATTGTTTTCGCATTTATCGAATTCTGACTGATCAAAAATAAGATATTTGACAAAAGGCCAAATTGAGCCAATTTTCCTTACCCAGTGGCCTACAGTCTTTCTAGTGAGTTCAATAGTGTTGGCTGTCAAAGCTCCTTGCACTAATTTGTTTGCATCTTCTGCATATTTCACTGGCATTCGCATTGCTCGACAAATTGCCCATTCCATTGCAGGTTGGTTCCTTCTTGGATGCTCTGGATCAGGTCTTGGCTCGCAATCATGGATAGGATAAAAGATTGCGCCTAATTGAATTGGAATATGCAAATCTGGGGGAGAACGAGCCATTACTGTATTCAATCTCTCTTGTGCTTGCAAAGGATTCAAAGAATAAAGGTGGTATGGATCGAAAATTGCATCAAAAAATCCAATTTTAATTACATAGTCAAGGAATGTAGATAATCCGCCCATTTCAATAATTTTAATTGTTTCTGCAACAACTCTTTCCTTTGTAATCTTCTCTTCGAAGTCAGTAACATGTAATTTTGCGGCTTCGTAAATACTTTCATGAATCTTGTATCCTAAGCGAACATAAAAGCGTATAGCACGAATAATTCTTAATGGATCTTCTGTAAATGTTAAATCTGGGTCGATTGGTGTTCTTATTATTTGATTTTTAAGATCTGGAATTCCTCCAACCAAATCTTCAACTTTTGAATATGTTATATTGTAGAATAAGGCATTTATAGATAAATCGCGATGTTTGGCATCTGTAAGTGGAGATGTTTCTGTTTCTTCTCCTCTTAAGTTACAAACATCAATCCATGTATCGCCAAATATACAAACTCTTACAGTTTTCATGAATTTAGACTGTTTTGGATTCTCTTGCATGACAATTATCTTTGTTGTATTTTCTGGAAATTGTTGTGATAATTTTTGACCGAAATCATCAGATGTACAGCCTTCAATGCAGATATCTATGTCATCTGATTGCTTACCAAGCAATTTATCTCTTACCCAGCCACCGGCAACACGACAAATAACTTGTGGGTCAAAACAAGAGCCCGCGGCCTTTATTTTTTCGAATACAGATACTTCCTTCTCTGTTAATAACTCTCCACTTTCAAGAAGTTCAATATTCTTATCAATAAACTGTGAATGCTCCATTCTAAAAATTTTCTAAAAATTTTTTCTTGGAAAAAAAAAGCAAAAATATAGTTTATAAAAACATTATAATATCTTAGTTATACATACTTGGATGCATATTTTTGTAATGTCTTTCTGGGGAAATGCATAAATTTTAAAATCAATATCCTTATTCTGATTCACTCTTTCACAGACAGTATTGAATCCATTCATGGTACTATCAGTTAGCTTCATTTCATGCATTTCAGCATAGTTGTCAGAAAAGATTTAATCAAGGTTTTGCGATTTGACAGAAGCACACAAACAATTATTTTCCTATGTCATTATACTATATTATAAAAATAATACATTGTAGTGTAATTTCATAAATGAATAAACGAATAATAGCTATACTCCTATCAGCTGTCGACAACTGCAAAAAAATATTCGGTGATGTTGAGAAATAGAAATGTTCTCATTGGAATAAGAAAGAACAATAAGTGATGATCATAAATGCTAAGTGACTTTCGATAAAGTTCAAGTCATTACTGTTTGGCGAGTTCACTTTTTTCCCTTTTATTTATCATATTTGATATTTTTCAATGAGTAATGGTAGCTTTATAGATTCTGACAAGTTTAATGGGAGTATCAATCACCAAGACCCCCAAGTTGTTGCTTCCATATTAAGCGAGCTTACTCAATGTATACATCAGCAGAATATTTCAACCAAACCAAAAGACTCGAAAGGATTCGAACAATTCATCAACGAAGACTTACCTGACTACTGGGATTCAATTATTTCTTTGAATTCACCTTCAAGAATCCTTCAAAAGGAATTACAAAATTTCTATACAGAATTATACACGTTTATTGCAAAACTAAATCTACCAGTCAAGTATTTAGAGATGCTTAATGAATCTTTGAAAGGATATAAGGCTCCTTTGGCTAAATTATCCCCAATAAACATTTCAAAAGAAAAAAGAGCCGAATTACTTAAGTTCGATCTTAGAAGTACAAGCGAATCCTTCATTAAGGACAAGTTACCCAACATTTCTCAGCTTGGTATCCATCAAATTAATGAACTTATTGGAACTCCTTTCTTATCTAAAGTATTACAGATGATCAAAGACCGCACACTTAGTTCCCAGCAGCTTACAGAGCTTATCAAGACATTCAATCAGATCCAACCTTTCCTGAATCCAATATATGCTGTAATAATTTTACAAATGCTTGCTGATTGCATTATTCAGATATTACCAATAGATACTACACCAGCATCTATTGCATGCCCATTCCTTTCAAGCAACGCTAAGTCAATGGTTGAAAAAACTGATGAAATTTTACACGCATTGACATCAATTGACATAAGTCTTAATGTCCAGACAGAGTTCTTCATTGTCGATTGCATATGTAAATTCGTCCAATTCAATGGTTTACACAATTCTGCTCTTGATGTGAAGAAAGAGCTTATCAGAGCAGCCAAATCCAAGAACACAGCACTTATATCACTTGTTATTAAGAACCTTACAATAATTAGTGAGAGAACTCCATTTGATTTATCTGATATTACAGAATTACTCTCTGCATCCACGAAATACGATGGAAACGAGCATTTAGTATCAATTACCCACCTTTTACCACTCGTTAAAGAGCAATTGGACAACTTTGCCATGGAATATCTTTCGACCGGCAAATTATATCCTCCTTTAGACTGTGCATTGATAGATCGGACAAAGAAGGACAAGCTCAGAGCAGAATTGTTCGATCACGCCACATCAAACATCACAGTTCTCCAATCCATTGACTTTTCCACGATAAAACAATGCAGATATGTCTGGAAACAACTTCTAAACGCCTGCCAGATGAATATCTCCATAGAAAAGTTCATTACTTTGTCGTGTTTCCTTCTCGCGAACCCCAATTGCGAAGCCATGCCCGTATACCTCAAAAAAGCAATTCAAATTGCAAGAATGAATCCGGCCATCATCACTTCACTTTTGCAATTTTCAAAAGTAATAAAGAACATTGACATTTCTAGTGTATACAACACATTGCTTGATGAAGCATTAGCAAGTGTTGGAACTAGTGATAACAATGTCACATCCGGATTATTCTCTTTGCTTTCGACATGGACGGAATGTTACGAATACTTGAAACCAGAAGAAGTAATTGACAAACTGAAAACCGTTAATTTCATTCAATTTCCTTTACAAATTCCACACTTCATTGATGTGATTACCAGTCGATTAGAAGACAAGAATTACGTTGTTCCTCTTCTGATGTCATTCTTGAAATCGACAATTCCAGAAATCCATTCACATTGGCTTGTCCATTCATTATTCAAACTCATTCTCAACGATGACAAAATAATGGATGAGTTCGTTGACACTTTAATAAATAATTTCTCAGAGAACAGATCGAGAAACGCCGCTGTTTTAATGGACGCTGTTTGTTTGGAAGCTGATTTCTTCAGAATTGATGATGAATTCGGTTTAGTACAAACAGTTACATTTACAAGTGACAGCAAGTCAACAATAACAAAACAGTTGTCATTCCATCCTTTCCATTCATCAAGAAGAATATATTTCGCGGCTGGAAAAGCAATAAATTGTGAAGTGTCAAATTTGGCTTTACTTTACAACGACGGTTATGACGATATCATGTTTAGGTTCAATACACCATTGACATCCTTCCATTTAGGTTCGAAACCAATCATTGAGTTCAGAGCAGAGAGAATCAAAGAAAACATCGATTTGAGCTATATAATGGGAGCTCCTTATGATGAAGTACAAAAATGTCACTTTTTGAACAGATTAACACAAAAGATTCCAGAATTATTTTCACAGATAAATGGGTTTGACATTATCGCACAGCGTATCTTTTTAATTCTCATGTTATTTGAGCCTTTCACTGATCTTCCTCGTTGTTCACATCCTCTTCAACATGTATTCACAAACACTGTTCGTGATGCAACGAATTTGACACAGGCAACAAGAATTTTCCCTTATGTGTTGAGGGCAGCAGCGAGATCAGCCAAATCAATATCAAAGGAATTCCTCAAACAAGTCGTTGACAATCTAACTGATGATACATTGGATGCTGTTAGTTTATCAATTGCTTGCCAAGTTTTACCATTTTTCAATGTAACTGAAGTGTTTTCTTCCAATGAAATTAAGAAGTTTTTGTTGGATTGCAACAAAGTATTAGTTAGAAAGGCAATTATTCCTTTGATTTCTGATCAAACACCCGTTGAAGCTTTTGTTTCTTTGCTTCCTTTGACAACAAAACCAGAATACAGAGCGAAAACATTCGAATTCTTCGAGGCAATGTCGAAATTTGATTATCCAAAAGATGTTTTAGTCGAAATCTACAAAGATCTAACACAGTTTGAGATTTCTCATTATTTGGATGTCGATCAAACCTTCATTTGTCTTTGTAAGAGATTGCCAAGAACAGATGAACTCGTACAATTGACAATCAAAAGATTATTCTCTCCCCCAACATGTACAAACTTAAATGCTCCTTTTGTTCATACTCAGGAAGCGTTTTCCGCTGGTTTGGAGTTCATTAGGACAACAAAATCTGTTCAAATTCTTTTAGAAAGATTAAGAACAGTTCCAAATTGTCCAAGACAACATATGGAACTAAGTGATGATTTCACATACAAAGGAAGATGTGGAATCAACAATTTAGGATCAACATGTTATGCATCTGCAATTATCCAAACTCTTTCTACAATTCCTACTTTAGTTTCTGATATTCTTAAGTTGTCAAATGAACAATTAAATACTCCTTTCTTGATTAATTTAAGATCACTTCTCGCACAGAATGTTTACGCGAGAGGATCAATATTAAACGTGAAAGGAATGATGGAAGACAGGAATGGATTCGATCCTTACATGCAAGAAGATGCTGGAGAATTCTTGAATACTGTTTTGAACTCAATAAATGATACTGTTTCCGGTGGAGAAAACATCATGAAACTGTTGACAGGATCAGAATCAGAAGGTTTCTATACAACAGACGGACAATTGATATCTAAAAGAGATAGAACATTTACTCAATTACAATTAGTAACTGAGAAAATGACAAATCTATACGAAAGTTTCGAAAAGAACTTCCAAGAAGAAGTGATGCATGATTACAAGATCAATGAAGTTACTGGTGAAAGAGCTGATGTTATAAGAAGAGCACAAATCACTAAATGGCCTGATTATTTGGCTTTGACATTAAGTAGATATGAATTTGACTTGAAATCTGCAACATACACAAAATTGACACATGAATTCGATTTCCCAATGGTTTTGCAAGGAAATATGCTTGAAAAGACAACGAAATCGAATCCTGGATGCAACTACAATTTGACAGCTGTAATTTTGCATACAGGAACAACAGAGAACGGACATTATACAGCCCTTGTTGAAGGAGAAGACAAAGAATGGTATGTTTGTGATGATGAATCCGTTGATTATTTCTCACAGGCACAAATTCCGTCATGGTCATTTGGAGGTATAGAAAATGTAGATGAAAAAGGAAGAATTATGACAGCTTATTTGTTATTGTATAGAAGAAATGATTATACATCAATTTACCCTGAGATTCCTCATGATTTAGAGCCAACAATTGATGAAACAAATGCAAGTGCATGGTCATCAATTATCTTTTATTCTCCTTCGTTCGTTGATTTCATTAGAAAATTACTTTTGGAAAACCAAAATTCAGTTCAAGTTCTAGAATTAGCTGTAATGGTTTTGTTCAAAGTAACTGTTCCTGATCCCAAGAGATTGGAGTTATTCGCTCACGAAATGTCCGAAGTCATTTTACAAAGCGAATCTCGCTGTGAAACATTTTGTGAATTAATTGATAACAGAGTTGGAGATTCATTGCAATCTTTACTTTGTTACAGCGATTTCTCCTTCAAATATCTCGGTCCATTGATGATTTCCGCCGTTGAAAGAATAACAAGCAATACAAGGCCAATCTACAGATTGCTTAAATTAGTTTCTTTCTCTCCAACGAAAAGATGTGCGGCTTTGGCACATGATTTCATAACAACTGCATTGAAGAAATGCGTAAATGTTGATTGGACGAATGAAGACGAATTGCTGCTTTTAATGGCACAAAATATTGTCCAAGACACACCAAAGGAATCTCAGAAACCAAGCAGTTACATGACATATAACGCTGTCAGCGCGATTTCTCAAGTTTTACTTGAAGTTTCTGAAGTCAAAATTTCTGAAGCGATGTTGAAATTGTTTGAACCTTCCAGTTTGGCTCAGATTGTTTCTGTTGCAAGGAGGTGCGAGACATTCATTGAATTATTGACTGTTGTTGCTGCACAAGACCAGGAGATGCTTGAAGACCTCAAAGACAGCAGCAAATCCAACAAAGAAATACAGTTATTGTTAGTTTCTGTTGCAGCAAATTCTGCTTCGATTGGAGAAGAAATTCCAAGAGCAAACTTCGATTTTATCTGGCATTCCATTTTCGATCTGATATTCCATGACACCAAAGATGTCAGACAGAATATAATGAATGCTGCAATGAAGTTACTAAAGACTCCGGATCAAAGAGCAATTGATTTCCTTAAAATGTCACTTTTGGATGAAAATTTGACAGCTCCTCCATTTTACGACGGCAGCTCATTGGTTTATTATTTCGCGGGCTTGACACCTATTATTTATAATAGACTGAAAGCAAGCAAGAACGCCAAACAAGAGAACACGAATTTCGAAGCAATTTCTCTTGTTATTCATGCTTCTTTGTTTTCTCCTTCATCGATTGTTCCTTTCTTCAGCCAGGTGAATGAAGTGCTTGAGAATTGCCAGTCTCCGAAGGTAATACAAGGCTTGGCAACTCTTTGCCACCATGTCATCGTTTTCGACAGAAAAATGCAAGATAAACTGTCAGAAAAAGCAATTCAGAAAATTTTCTCGCTTGAAAAACCTGGCGAAGAAGTTATGCAGCTCTTGAAGTTGTACAAGAACTTAGCTGAAGGAACGCCAGTTCTAAGTGCTGCTGTTTCTTTCGCTTTGTCCCAGAAAACAACTCCAATCGGATCGATGATTGCTGATATTGTTTCAGAAGTGAAAGTTGCAAATTACGCAGTTCCTGTTGAGGCGAATGGAATGGAGAATATCAAGTTATGCGTCGCTTTATTGCAACAAGAGAAGAATAGAACAAGAAGATCTGCTGTTTTGGATTATTTGTTGTCTGCTTTGACTTTTGCTAAGCCAATACATTTGTTTAAGAATACAAAAACAGTGTCGAAGGCTATCGAAATACTTAAGGATGAAAGACATGAAAAACTATCCACGATTTTATCTGTTTAAATAGATTTATTTATTTTTATTTGTTTTATAAAAAAAATATATAGAAATTGTAATTTTTTTTACCTTAAGGAGACCAAACTAAATAACATTCGCTCTCTGGGGACATGTAAAGCATCAAAGTTAACAAATGCATAAGGAAAATGGTTCAAGGAGTATAATAATGAAAATTTAGACTATAAAATAGTTGCACTTATATAATCTTGAGTGATTTATGGATGTCATTGTTCAAAATTCTGACAACTGGCATGAAAAATCATTGAAAAACAACCTTATATAACAGAATTGAAAACTGTATGAATTGTTTAATCTCAACTGTTTACTTGTAAGGTCTATGTGTTTCATTTCACTACACCTAATAGATAAACTTCTGAAATCTTTTAAAAGCAATTTTTGAGATGAAAATATCATATGATTAAATTTTGATGTTGGAAATAGGTTCTTGTAGCTTTAAAAGAAGCCAATTAAAAATAATAATAATAATAATATTTTATTTAGGAACATCCCAAATGTAGCTGTCGAAGTCGAAATCATTCCAGTTCTTCTCGTATGGAACTGCGTTATGGATTCCGAATGCCTTAAATTGTTCTTCAACGTTTGTAGAGTCGCTATGAACATAAACTGCGTGCATTCCAGCGTTTTGAGCTGCAAGAACGCCAAGGTAAGCATCTTCAAAGACTAAAACGTTTTCTGGTTTGAAATCACCCATCATCTTCATTGCTGTTAAGAAAACTGTAGGATCTGGCTTTCCAACTGTAACCTCATCACTTGTAACAACATGTTCGAACAATTTACGAACTGGTTGATTGACATATTTTTGTTCGAAAGGACCTCTTTGAGATCCTGTAGCAATAGAGATTGGAATTCCCATATCATGTAATTTGTAGATGATTTTATCAACGCCTTCAACGAGAGGGCAATGTTCGATTTGGCTAGCAACGATTTCATCTCTCTTGTGTAAGAATTCTTGGACTGTCATGTTGAGTTTGTATCTTTTGATGATAAGTGCAGCAAGATCTGTGTCTTTGCGTCCATCAAGCTCGAGATAAAATTCTGTTGGGAAAACTTCGCCAGCAATTTGATGAACAGACTTCCAATACATTGGTGGTGTATCAATGATTGTTCCATCACTATCAAAGATGACAGCTTTGATCACAGGACGTTCAGAACTCATAAAATCTTATAAAATCTGACACTTTTATATTTTCAGAGTATTTTAGTGGCCGCTCGAAGAAATACGCTAAGTTACAACTTCTGTACCTATCCTGGATTTATTTATTGTTTCTAGAAAAGTTTTCAATATCGATAGTTCCTCTAGTTTCGTATATTCCAATGATATTGAGTGATTACAACGTTTGAATTGCTGATTCAAAATATGACATTTAGATATGTAAATACTCTGATGTAGTAAAGACAAAGATCTCCAAGTTTTTTATATCACCTGTATTTTATTCCATTTTAATTGATTCTTTGAAATCTTTTATAAATAAAATTTCCTTATTAAATGCACAGGAAAAATGAATTCTAAGAGATCAATTTATATCATTGACTTTTTTTTTTTGAGTTCAATCAATAACAAAATTGTATGTAGTCATAAGCTGCAAAAAGACATCCTTGTTATTGAAATTATCTTTTTCATTCTCTTCAGCCCAAGTAATAGATCCATGGACGAATGTGCACATGTATAATCTTAATTCAGAGATATGTAAAAAGATTGTATAATAATTTTTAATATTTTGCTAAGTACACTTTTTTACATTGAATAGTTGTAAACAAAAGTAGTGATCCCTTAAGTCGTAATTATATTATAAGATATATATATATATAAAATGATATTAAATGGCAACTTTGACCCTCTTTAGAATCAATTGCTGGCTGCAATGTGTGAATTGAGAAGCTCCTCGATTTCATCAAGCCCATATTCTCTTGCATATTGAAGAATTGATTTTCCGTGATTGTCTTTTGCAGTAACATCTGCACCATTCGAAACAAGAATTTTAGTTATTGCATAAGAAAGATTAATTGAATATTCATCAAATAAAATACATGCTTGATATTTTCTCGTATCATATATTTTGGTATCTTGAATAAAGTCCCATTCATATTCTTCCATTGCATAATTAAGAGGGGATTTTCCATTTTCATCTTTTGCATTAACATCTGCTCCAAGTAAAATAAGATGCTCAATCAGTTCCTTACTACTAAAAATGATAGCATAATGTAGTACTGTTTTGCTATTTTCATCTTTTGCATTAATATCAGCACCATGAGAAATGAGAATATTTAGTGCTTTTATTCTGTCATCTTCTGGTAAAATTCTATCTAATTTTCCAAAGGATATATTCTTGTATATCTTCCTTTTATAATCTTTATCTATTATATAGAATAGAACGGTTTTCCCGGAGATGTCTTTGGCTGTGATATCGGCTCCATGTGAAATTAGGAAATCTAGCATTATTTCATTGTTGTTTAATGCTGCATAATGAAGAGCGGTTATACCAGATGCCCATATATTTTTCAATAATGTCTCAGAAAGAATTCCACTATGAACGTTAATATCAACACCGTTAGAAATAAGAAGTTCAACTATATCAGTCATGTTCTTTCTCACAGCAATTAATAGGATAGGTAATCCTGATGATGTTTCATTAACATTTACTCCATGTGAGATAAGAAGTTTGGTTACTTCTATATTGTTGCCACCAATAGCAACACGAAGAAGGGATTTACCATTTTTATTCCTTGTATTGGTATTGGCGCCTTTCGAAAGGAGAAATTTGATGATTTCTTCATTATTGTCATGAACAGCGCAAAAGAGAGGAGTTTCACCATTATTATCTAATGATTCAATATCAATTTGATAATCTTTTGTGGAATCCAATAAAAGCTTACATATCTCAATACAATTATATGAAGATGCAAAATGAAGCAAGGTCATTCCAGCAAATTGGCGAGAAGTTTTCGGATTAATTCTTGTATTTTTGATTAAATCATAAGTTTGTGGAAATGCTGCACACCATGGAAAGATTAAATTTTTGTTTTTCTCGAATAAGAGAAAAACTGCTCCAAGATTTTGTGAATCTATTACATCTTGATATGAGAATTTATCTGCTTCAATAAGGTCATGATCTAAAATATATTTAAGAAAAGTATTGTTGTGAGAACCAATTGCATAATTGAAGCAATCTTCATCTATTGGATGATATTTCAAGCATTCATTGATAATGTCTGTATTTCCTCCAACTATTGCATTGCGAAGACATTTCAGTGTTATTTCATCATGAAAATTTATTTGAATAAAATTGAATATATTTACCGATCCAAAGTATGCACACTTTTCAAGATCTCTAGTATAGTATGAATTCGAGTAATAGCGTCTTTTAATTATAGATTGATTTTTCATTTCAAAGCCATTTTCTGATACATAGTCCCTAAATTTATATATTTGATCATTCATTATTATCGTATTATATTCATCTTTGAAAGAAAAATCTGAATCAAGAAAATCATCAAATTCTGTGCCAATGCAAATAGTGGCTCTTGGCTGAATTGAAAATTTAGAACATAACTGGTCATCGAGTTCAGAGTATAGTTCCTTTGATCTGTAATTGTAGGCTGATGCGTTAGTTATGCTAAAGAGAAGTGCATGTATTGAAATCTTGTATTTGTCAACTAAACAGTTCAAAATCAAGTTGAGAATCTCCTCTAAAGACTCATTTGATTTCAAGTGATATATTTTAGCATAAGCTGAAATAAAGTCATCGTATTGCTGAAAGTAATCGCAACTCATGAAAATATAATGTCAAAAAGTTTATTGAAAATAAAATTTTTATGGCAAACTCATTAAAATATAAAGTCAAAAAGTTTATTGAAAACATTTTTTTGGCAAACTTTCTGATTGGAAGTCAAATCCTCAACACATTTTTCATGATATTACATCACTTTTGCTTTCATTTTTAAGTACAGGTGCGAATGACTGTACTCAATCCAGTATTTCCCAGACACCTGTTTCTCTTAGAATTGGTCTGATCTATAGCTTAATTTTAAGTAATTAACTCTGGGAATTGACAGTACAAATAATAAATCATTTATTTGGAATTAAGTACAATAAATAATTGTATTTTTAAATATATTGTGTACAATAACATCATGGGATATCAATCAGAAGTGCTAATATTAAATATGATATATTTAATTCGAATCTGGTATTTTGCATTTTTGTTGAAATGGATGAGAGTGAGTAGCTGAAATGGAGATTCAAAGTATATTAAATGACTTTTTTCGCTAAATCATTTTAGTAAATTTTTATAATGATGCATAAGTTAAGGGTTTTTATTATTTGAGGCCATCTTTTCTAAAAGTTCTCGCATTTTTTCATCGCCTACTCCTGTGGCTTGTGAAAGAAATGGTATTGCATATTCAGGATCCAACATCAACAAAGAACCGGTCAAAATGCCAGCACCGTATATTAACAAGAGTATTGTTGCAATGATACCCCATTTGGGTTTGAAGTAAAGCCATGGCCCAAGAATGAGAACAATTAATACTAACAACAGCATTTTAAAAGTCAAGAGAAAAATATAAATGTTTTTGTTCATCTTTGTCCAAATATTTCTTTTCGCCAAATCATTCTTGTAAATTCACAATTTGTAAATTATTCAATTTGAATGGATGAAACTCCTACACCAGTCTGTGTTAATGATAATCAAAAATTAAATGGTGAAACAGAAAATAAAACTCCACACATGGAGCCTATTTCGACATCAAAAAGCGACGAAAAAATAAATAATCAAAATATTAACTCATCAAAATCAGTAAATTCTGATATACCTCAAAATGATTCGCACAAGAAAGCTGACAATCAAGCAATTACTAACGAAAATCATAACGAAATAAATATTTATAATAAGCAAAATAAACTTTCCAAAGATACACCAAGCCGACAGTCACTTACACAGCTAACTTAGATTACTGACCATCTTTCAACAAGTTCTGATTTAACAGAAATTTCAATTGATAAGCATAAAGACTCTAACCTACTTATTGTTAGCCCTGAGCAAGACAACAATTTTAAAAATGAGCAGATAATAGATGAATCTGGCTTCATTTTGGAAAAACCTACGATACAACCTTCCCCGATAAGGCCATTCTCTCCACCAATCCCGGATATTCATGCTCCTGACGAGCACTTTGCCGCCATATCACCTGAAATTGATCATTCCTCATCAACATTCGAAGAAGAAATTCAGAAAGTTGAAACAACAGAAAATCCAAAGAAGGACAACGTCCAAGAAGTAAATCCTCCAAAAAACATGAATAAAAGCGAGAAACCTACACCTAATCGAATTGTTACTAAAAGATTAGGTCCAAAGCATTTATCCCTTAATCCACAACGACATCCAAATATAGAAAAGCAGGTTACTCTTTCCAAAGAAGAGGAAAATGCTGAAATTAACGAACTAAAAATTCAAAAATCAAAATTGAACCAAGAAATCATCGAATTAGAAATAGATCATTCCAAACGAATATCAGAAATGACTCCATCTCAATTTGATTCAATTTTATTGTCTTCTCGAAATCATTTTTTATCCAATCTTTCCAGAGCCACTGTTTCCTATAATGAAAGGCTTTCCAGGATGAACACCATCATGTTCTCGCTTAATGAGGAGCTTTCACGCTTTAATTCTTCAAAACCATCAATGACATCCTCATTTACATCATCCGAAATCAAAAGAGAAAATGTTGAACTTAAAAGGTCAATTGATTTCGTCAGAAAAGAAATAGAAGTATCAAACGATGCATCAGAGATTATAGTTACTTCTAAGGACTCTGTTGTTGCAAGAGATAGAGAAGATGTTCGATCAGAAAAACAATTAATTCGTGATGAAATCAATTTGATCAAAGATGAAATAGAAGTAAATAATTTGCAATCAGATATGACAGCTCAATACTATTGGAAAGCTATCGAATCAATAAAAGCAATGCAGTTGAAATGCGATGACGAAATACAAGAAAATATCGAACAGAAAAGACCAATTTCTCGAACACTTTTTGATAACGCGGAATCAATTTTGGAAAAAAGAAGACGTGCTCAATCAGAATATTACGAAGCAAAGAAAGAATCAGGAAGCCCGCAAAAAGAAGAAAAATTACAGAACTCGTTGAATGACTATAGAGCTACAATTGCTTTACTTCCTAACTTGAGTGTTTCTGAATTATATGATAACCTTTCTTTATCTGGAACAAAATTGAATACATTAAATGATACTTTAAAGAGATCAGTGACATCATCAGTTATGTTGCACTCTGATCTTATTGATCAACAGATTGAAGAAATAGAAAAAAGATGTCACTCGGAAATACTTCAGGCAAATGTTGATTTACAACAATCATCAAAAGAAATACTCAATAAAATCAAAAATGAAATTGTTAAAAATGAATACAATAAAGGAGAACTGAAAACTATTTTCAGATGGGCTCAATCTGTTCAAAATAGTGAAATCAGTAATCATATTCATCAAATTTTCATGTTAGTAAACTCTCCAAAGTAATTTTATTTTGCCTAATATCTAATTTAAACATGTATTAAGAGTTCGCTTACGCCCATCTGACTTTAATTCAAATTCTTGACAATGCCATTGAAGGTCATGACATTCGGACGTAATTGCACCATTAAGAAACTTTTGAATATATTTATTGCGACTGATGAATATATATATACTAGATGGAACTTGAAAAAAAAAATATTTGTTTCCTCTTATTCCAAAGAAGCATATATTAAAATTATAGAGAATATATGTTTGAATAAATAACAAAGATATATTTCCATTTATCACAAATGGTGGGATGAGTTCTTAAATCAAATGCACATAATAACAACACCACAAACAATAAATCATATAAAAAAACAGGCTTTTGATAGCATTCTCGTAAAATCTATTACCAGAAGGCATTCGACTTGAGGTGACCCATAGAATAGGCTTAGGGGGCTTATATTAAGAAAATATTACTACCATACGAATCTGATGCATATAGTATTCAATTTAGAAAAATTTTGCGTGAATGAAACTCCAATTATTACAATTTGTTTTGTACTCATATAAAATTAGCTCATACGTTATGATAGAAGATATATGATAGATAAGTAATAAATTGACATTAGTTTTACTTGCTGTCTGCGATTACTTTTTTAATTATTACATCGCATTTACAAAAAGAAAGTAATATTGAAAGTTTATCATATACCACACTAATTATTAAAGCTCTCAACATTAGAATTTTCGTTAAATTAATGTCATAGTACGCAATATAAAGATTCACAATTTGGTATTAAGCAAATATTCACACCAATTCTAAAAAATATGTACTTAAATTGTAAAATACAAGCATTTATCTTAAATAAACTCCTCAAAGTGAAAAATAACAAATTCATTTTATAAAAAAATTAACAAAATTCTTTTATTCTATATTCATTGAAGGTGCATTATTCCGTAAAGTGTATTGTCATATGATTTTTGATAGTTTAAGTAAAAATAAAATCGATAAGGTTATATTGACGTATGAAAGCTCGTAATTACAAAACCGTATGTTGCATATAAATGTTTGTGTAATCTTTTTGAATTTTCGTATGGAGAGTTGTTATTTGAGTGATTGTTGATCAAGTTCCAAGTTGCTATTCCATGTGAGATTGGCACTTTTTCTCAAAAAAACGTATATTTGTTATTTTTTTTTAATTTGATTATTTAATAATTAAACAATAATCTACTTAAGAGAATATTGTTATTTAACATCATTTAAAATGATAAATCTGAAAGGAAATGTAAATATTTTTATTTTGCAGTTTTGATTAGAAATTATCCTACATCCACACAGACAATATACCCAAAAGCATATGACAAAGCATAGAACAGAAATTAATCAAATAGAATTTGATCTAATATGCAATATGTTAATATAATTGAGTCATGTTTGAGTATATTGCTTGTGTGTTGGTGGTAATATTCAATAAATGTCATTAATAAAGTAAGATATAAGCTTTATATAATTATAATGTGAGAATAGGAATAATTATTATTTCTTATTTAAGTAAAAATCCTTTGAATCTGGTAAAATGATAAAATCTATAATAATAGTAACAGTTCCACCGATATTATAATGCTCAAAACACATTATTTAAGTCTAAAAATTGAAAACAAAGAAATTTTTATATTTTTTGCTAGATCGTGGTCGTGTCAAATAACGAACAATTTCTCAGAAATAAAAAAGGCTCAAATTTGGTATATGTATTTATTAATATGAATCTAGTAATATTTTTCGAGGGTGTCAGATTGATTTTTGAATAGTTTACGAAAATGATCATGGGTTGTATAAGCATTATACTATATGATAATTCTATTTTTCATAATTTTAGGTCTTAAAACTCAAAAACCGCAAAATTTTTGAGTCGAATTACCTCTCTATTACCATTATCCAAGATTGTCAAATTGATTACCTTGTCTTTCACACATGCCATATCTCGAAAATATTACGTTTTATGGTACCATCAAATGTCATGAATATATGTTTAAAAGAATAACTTCTCTCAAGCTCATACGATACTATTCGCTCAGATCCGTTTATAGCGCTATGTTCAATGATATGCAAACGGATGGTATTGTTGTTTATTGCTGTCACAGATTGCATGCAAATTTTTCGGGAATTGTTCCTATTAAAGGTTTTGAATGTATTGATGTACCTGCTAAATCGTGTAAGGTTAACTATTACTTACTTTCTTATTCGATATTTGTTTTTATTCCTATACTTATATAAAATAAAGTAAAGTTAAAAAAAAAAAAAAAAGGTATTGGGGCTTCCAGGGGCTGCGCCCCTTCTAGCCCCGAAGATGTTTAGTATAAAATGAAGTTTTTATTCGGAAAATTGTTAGTCTTCTGGTGTGAATTCGGAGGACTCTTCTTGGATAGAGTCTTGTATTTCCTCCTCTTCTTCTTCCTCCATTGCTTCTGGGAAGAAGCCTTCTTCTGGGTCGAAAACATTATATAATGTGTAATTGAATGACACATTATATCTTTCTTTGAGTTCGCTCCTGACAAAGAACTTAGTTCCAGGAATACAGAAGACTTCTGTGCGTTGGAAAAGCTGATGTCCTGGAACAAATTTGGCAATTAGAGACTTCTTTTTTCCGAATTGTTCAGGAGTTTCCATGACGACAGTAACAACATCTCCATCTGCGAGGTCTTGTTGTTGTTCGGAAAGGTAAAGAGCAATGATATGAATGGTTGCTGCGTTGAATTCGAGAAAGTCGAATTCAAATTGTGTTGTCGTATAGCATTCAAACCATTTTGTACAGTTGTCTCCGAACTCGTCAATGTATTCATCTTGGTCATATCCGTAACTAAAGACTTGGAATTCGGCAATTCTCTTGTCGAATGACCGTTGCATGTAACGAGGAAGATTTTGACGAACTTGGTATAAAGTTCTCAACATTATAAGCTTAGTAAATGTTGGAAAATACTGAACTAAGACATCGCTAAGCTCAATTGGACTTGGAATTGTCTTAGTAAGTTCAATTGAACTAGCAATTGCTTTGTTCAGAACTTCACAGAACTGAGTATTGTATGTAGCGTCTGGTTGTGTGTTTTCTTCGGCGTCTTTGAGATATTTAGAGCAAATTTGTTGAAGAATTTCTCTTAATTCGCTGTTAGACTTTTTGGTGGTTATTCTAACAGCTGTGCCAGTTCTTGGAGGTTGTGGGGCTTTGGCTTTGGTTAGCGGTTGAGAATTGTTAATGTTGGCTTCCATTAGACAAAAATAAACTGTTTTTTTTCGGACTACTCATAGAAAAGTTTAAAATAAACCGTTTTCGTCAACGGTAACCCCCTCTATTTTTTTATTTTATTGAAAAGTCTCCGTTGGCAAACCGTTCCATCTCAAATATTGAATGAACTATAAACGTTTTTTGTTTTCTATACATACTTTTTTGTCCAACGGTAAAACTTTTTACACAACGGTTTTGAGAGTCGTCGCCGTTGACCTTTTTTGTAGAGCACTCAAAATAGTATAACTTTGTCCGGACAAGTAAGGGTCTATCGTCGCTACAGGAAAAGTTACAGGCGTTCCAAGGAAGTATACTTTGAGAAGCCTTTTCCCCTTATAGAATGAGATAGGACGGTTATTTTACAAAACTGACAACACTTTGACCGAGTAGTTTTTTGTGCTGCACAAAAAGTGTCATATAAACATCTGTCAAAACCGCTTTTTAACTTCACTTAAAATGCCACGTAAGCTACGTAAATATACGTAAGAGGAAAGAGCATTGAAACATCCAATAGTAAGACTGACACCACAACAACAGTTGCAACAACAAATGCTGAATGACCCCACTATGTTGCAACAAATGTCAAGCAATCCTATGCTTTTAAACCGAGTTACTGGCACAGAGTGGAGGTTTAAAGCGGCACTTTTAGCGAAAATGGCAGGCTATGGTGGAGCTGCAGACGGAACAGCATATAACCTCAAAGTCAAATGAATTTGAGTTCACTCAAAAATCAAATAACAATGTCAAAAGTCAAACATAGACATACAGAAGCAAATAAGTGAAAACGAAAAGAAACTAGAATATGAAGACACACAAAGAAACTCAATGAGTTAAACGTAGAGAAAAAGAAGAAAGAAGAACAACTGAAAGAACTAAGTACAGAGGAATATGCGAAAAAAGTGTCAGAAAAAAGCAGCAGAAGTAGCAAAAATGAACAAGATGTCATAAATTGAAAAACCATACTACTCAATATAAAATACTGAAAGATGAAGAGATAAAACAAAAAGCCCTGAAGACATATATGGATAGCGATGAGTATAAAAAAGAAGTTGAAAGCAAATGTAAAGGCAGAAAAACTTTTACAGTTGCAAAACCAAACCGTACAGTATGAAAACTTAGCACAAGAAAGTAAAAATAACGACGCAGCCATGCAAAAGGCAATGAAAAGCGCAGAATATATAAAAGCTAACAATGACTGGTTAGATGCCCAAGCCAACGCTAAAGCAGCCCAACTCATAGGGTCAATAAGGACAAAAATACAAGCGGATGAAGACAGTTCAAATGAAGCTTAACGAATGCTGACTTTAAGAACGCCTTCGAAAGCTCTCATAGTAAGGTGAAACAAGTGAACGATTTCTCATCTGGAAAGAAAACTGAAAGTCTGAAGGTTTCGACAAAGAGTTAAAAGAAGTAGCACAAAATATGACGAAAATAACAGATGCAGCAACGAGACAGGCAGTTCAAAGTGCCTATGACGCCGTTAGAGCAACTGTTTGAAAAGTCAAGAAAAAGAGTTACAACAGACCAAAACAGACCTAGTAAATGCTTTCTTAAAAAACGAAAAGTCAGGTAGGACATTACGCTGCAGATGGAACATATGTGCCAGCTGGTGGAACTTATATACCACCAAACCCTCCAAGAGAAGCACCTGCACCAGACTACCTAAAACATTTACATCGTCACATGGACACAGACACAGGCATGCACCAAAACCAACACAACAACCAAAGTTCACAA